CTTCCTCATCCGTCGATCCTCGCCGAAGGTTGTATTCTCCATCTTGGCTCCTAGAATAGCAGCGAATTCCACTAGCCGGGGAAGTATCTGTCTGTGGGGGAAGGGGTTGCTCAAGACGTCACGCAAAAATGTTGTACAGTCTGTCCAGATTTCGTCGAGTACATCATCATCCAGAGACCTGGCATAAGTAACCAGAAAACCTGCCAGCTCCGATTCAGTGAGGCTTGACGTCAAGGCAGATTTACGGTGGGGTTCAAGGGCAGCAGGGTTGGTTCGTGTATAAATGGCATTGAATATTGCTGGAATGGTGATCTTTGGGCGAGATCCGTCCAGAGTGTGCAGCAAACTAAAAATAAGTGGTGATGTGTCAGGGTCTGCTCTTGACCACATCTCTACCATCGTCTCTAGGCATTCAAGGGCCTCCGCAGTGAAAAGATGCTCAAGAATGCGACGAGACCTGTTTCTCATCCGCAGAGAAGTGTATTGGAAAGACGCGAGAGACTCGGGATCTTGGGGTGGCCCATTTCGCTCCACGGCACCCCAGGACCATATGGAAAAGCACAGTCGAACGGCATCCTGGAAGCACAACAATACCGTTAATCTGTTGTTCGCAGCGGTTGAGCGCCCCTGGTTTGAATCTGTCGCAAAGACTCCTGACACCATGTTGCCAAAGAATCCATGGGCGTGGTCAGGGCTTTTGACAGCTGGTACGTTCGCTTCCTCCACAAGAAGGCGTTCGTGAGCTGCCGCTATGCACGTCTCAAGTCCAGTAAGTAGGGTAATGGTGACATGTTCAGAGCGATCTTCTGGCCAACCGTCGGTTTGTCTAAAAGAGAGCTGAAGATTCGTATATGATAATTGGATCTCCTTACAGAAGCATTCCACTAACATGAGCAGGATCTGGAAGAGGGATCCTGAATATAGTGGGAGCACTTCACAAAGCAGTAGAGTCCACTTCTCCACGATATCTCTCGAACTTTTAGAGCTAATGCCTTTGAGAAGACACTCTAGAAGGTGGGAAGGAGGTTGAGGTGGAACAGGAAGCGAAGCACCTCTATCAGCCTTATCACTGGTGAAGGAAAGAAGTGACGGACTTGTGAGCCGCTCGCGGGACTGTGCACGCTGATGTTTTGGCCTGGGAGGGGGCGGTGGTAGGTATGCTTGTGCGAATCGGACCTTCAACGCTGAGAGTAGGGTGTCTATTATAGCCCCTTGTAATTCGACGCTACCTCCTTCGTCGAGGACAGAAGACAGTTGATCAACCAAGAAGGAGTCAATTCCGGACTCAGCAATCTCTTCACCTCCGGGTCCTTGAAGAAGTTGTCTTATAACCAGCAGGGAGGTCTGTTGAAGTTTCACTTCTTCGTAGTCCACCTGTGATACTGCATTTCGCCTTCTCCCAATGATTACCTTTGAGGATAGCTGGAAAATAATAGAGTGGAGAGATTGGAACTCAGCACCATCTAAGTCCGTTGACGGTAAGCCAAGCACTCAAATCTAGGTTCTCAGAGCTTACCTTCAGAAGCACCATCCTTTTGTTTATCCGCTGGATTCAATGTCTGAGTAAGAAGAGACATCCACCCATTGGGCGACAGAGAGCAGAGGATATTGTAGATTGTCCGCAAAAGGTAGTTACACTCTTTATAGTCGTCAGTGGAAATGACGGCGTTGTCGCCCTCATTTTCTGACAGTGTTTCTCGCAAGAGAACGTTCTCAAGTCGCAAGATCACGATGCGAAACACCCTAAAAGAATAAGAAATCGTACAAACCTCACCGTCGGGTCTGACTCACTTTTGAATGGATGATAAATCTTGAAGCCATCGCTGAACTACCTGTGAAGCCTCATTTGGGCCTTGAGTCAGAAGATCCAAAACGAGAAAAAGTGGGCGCTCAAGCATTGACGAATAGTAAGCCGTTTGGGCCTTTCTCGCATCGTGCGCTTGTTTTGGAGGGAGTTCGTAGGAGCCATGGTGGCTATGATTCCAGAGAACGAAATATTTTCCAGCCTGCTCTTCAGAGGTCAGATGGTGGGAGCCTGGCGCTGAGCCAACCATGAGAGATGTTATGGACGCCTCGACAATATGATCGGACCAAGAAACCGAGTGTAGATTCCAGAGACAGCGGACCGCCTCTACATGAAACTTGGGGCTTGCTGGCGAGAGGAATTGCCAAAGATGTCGGACGAGGGTGGGTATCAGTTCTGCAACATCCTTGTAGCTGATATAGTACCCAGGGGCCTGTATGAAATACAAGCTGGTCACTGCGGAGACAATGGAAGAGATAGTCGAGAAAGAAGGTGTAGACTGTTCTGCCTGGTCAATCTTCATTCGACTGCAAATAGCCAGATAGAATCGCCTATCATGGAACACAAGTGATTTGGGAAGTCGCTTCAGCAAGGCAACCAGAAGACTCAGGATCTCTTGAATAGGTATAACACCGTTGCGATTTTCGAGGGCCGATGCGGCAAGATCGTGAGCTTTCCGTGTTATGAGATCACCCAAGTGTCTGGGGAGAAAAGGAAGTGGTGGAAGATCCAGACTGCTTCTGCTTTGATCATAGAAGTTATGGATTCTTTTCATAATATCAATGTCGCTGATGTCGACGATCGAATTGTCCGCTATCACTTTGGCCGGTTCAGATTTTCTTGCCAACGCTCTCTCTGTGAGTAGCGCTGTCAAGGAGTTCATAACTTTCATAAGCCCGTTGGATATTTCAAGAAGCTCGTCAGGGGCAATTCCGGAATCCTTTGTAAATGATGAAAGCTCGCTCAATTTTACGAGGATAGTAAGCACCAACAGAGGTACATGGGTAAGAAGCATGTCCTCTTCACGGACATTGAAATTGTCCAAAATGAACTGAGCGAGTTGCAAGTCGTCCAAAGCCTGCCTCTTCTTGTTACAATGATTATCAGCTCTCCAGTCGATCAGGCCAAGAAGCTCCGAAAAGATCACGCCGCTCTCGACACCATCGAAGAAGGCACTGGCGCTGCGAAATACCTCGTCGAACTGATGCTTGGAGGATGAATTTCCGAAGGCTTGGATGTTGCGCATAAGGGGTAGGAAAACTGCAGGAACAATATGACCGCCAACTTCCCATCTGTCCATCAAGGAAAGTGAGATTCGAAATGGCTTTGCCCTTTCCGAGGGAGTTCTTGCGTCTTGCTCATTCAACCGAAGCAGACTTTTTACAAGAGGTTTTAGACCAAATTGACTGAAATACTCTGACTGCGATAACTGTTCGTCATCAACAGCGTATGATCCGGTTGTTCCTTCGCCTTCGAAAGTTGGCTGATCACTCGCAGCTTCGGGCCCTAAGAACCACGCCCACAGCCTCCTGTTCAGGCTCATGTCTCGTCGGGCAACGACCCCAACAGCCGCGATCATTAATCTCTGAAGGTCGTCATCTGTGATCCGCGACTGCAGTATAGGCGAGCTGAGTGGAAGGTGAGTCACAAGTAAGTCAAGAAAATTTCGCTGCACGAGGATTTGTTCATCCACCAGACCGGACGCAAAACACCTAATAAGCAAACCCGGCTCAGGCATGATAACGGAGTCCACCGCCACGCGCATATCATGTGGCATGTCCTCAAAGTTACTCCCGTCACCCTTACTCGGTCTGCGATCCGTAATGCCTAACTTTGGCAAATATCGGTTCAGGTAAGCTAAGACACCTGAACGTCTGCTAGGGCTGGTTATGGATGCCAGGAATAGACACTGCCAGAAGTATTGACCGCTTGATTCCGCGTCCGCCCCGGATCTCTGCGTCTCTAGCTTCGTTGCTGCGATATCGCGGAATTTGTTAACGAGTCGCAGCGTGTGATCGAAGTCGTCACTGGTTTCCTCTTCCAGGCCTGGTAAAAGGGCCAAGATTATAGCCTTCAAAGCCGGACGAATGGCCCATGGCTCGAGACCGCAAATATGAGTTTCTACCAAGGATAAGAACAGAGGACGCACTGTGAGCGAGGCGAAGGTAAGGGTGGGCGCGATGCCTGGCAGGTACAAGGGTAGGTCGTGTGACAAGCCTTCAGACTATTTGGCCGATTAGAGGAATTAGCAGATGGACACTCAATTTCTTTTCCCGTCAAGTCGAACCTTAATCAGATTGAATATATAGGTATATACTTCGAGCGCTTTCTGGTGTACGCCTGACGGTAGTGAAGGATTCAAGCATTGTGAGAGACGTTTGGCTACAAGCACCTTGTGGGGGACGACTGGTAAGTCTGCGGGATGCGATTGGAGAGCCTGAACCAGGTGAGCAATTTTCCTCTTGTTCTAGGCGCATGAGGCATAAAATTACCTTCAACAGGCGACTAAGAAATGAGATATAGTCCGCCCATTCCTGTAGCGCTGTGTCAAACAACGACAGAGCTCTTTCGACAGTGGAAGCATAGCGGCGGTAATTCTTGTCTTTCTTCAAGGGCTCTGTTTGCGAAAATAAGTGAGCTGCATAGTCCCGAATAATCACGTATGTCTTCAATTGCGTATCTGAATCGGAATTTGCGTACCCTCCTTCCCTCGTAAGCGGGAGCGCGTAAAGGAGCTGTCGGAGCTTGCGGGGGAGTTGGACCTTGGAAAAGAGGTCGGATCAAGGCTCATGGTGCCAGTAGTGGATACTCGGTAGGCGGAATTGCTTCAGATCGCGGCGCTTCATATTTTGCTCATCAGGACTGGCATGATCGGATGATTTTGCGGATGGTTGCGAACAACTGAAGACACGCAGCCTGAATAGATAGACCAGTCGGAGATGTTTTGGGTCTCCGTCCGCCTTGGAGCTCCGGCCTTCCAGCGACGTCAACCTAGCTCCACTTACTATCTACTCCACGTAGCTGCGCTCAGCAGATGAGAGCAACCTAGATGACCTGCCGTCGCATTTTCATGACATTATTGCTTTCTCAATGATAATTATGTCTAACGCCACTTGACTTATTCTAATGATCACTGTTCACAAATGAAGCAGGACGTCCTCATAGAACTGCTATCGATGCGCATTATCTGCGTACGATGAACTCGAACGCTCTTGAGCAACCGCAGGTCTCACCGGGCGATGACGGCGCTGGAGGGAATAACTACGGAACTCCAGAATATTCCGCGAAAGAGCCCTCGAATACCGGTAGCGATGACTCCTCCGCGCGCTTGGAAGAAAGGCCTCCACCCCTCCCCCCGCGTCCGAACACCTTGAGCTTATTAGATGAAGGGTTCATTTCATCTCGGTCAACCCGGCAGTCATCATCAGCTAGTTTGCAGGCCAAGGCTACAACAGCCGTATCGATACCGGATATTAGCCTTTTGCAATTAAACGATGGCGGAAAAGAAAACCACCCTACCCGTGGTCCTTTTGGGGCACTAAGAGCCAAGGCAAGCCTCACTCAGCTTACAGCCTCGAGAGGCAGTGATGCGGGGGATTCTGCGAGTATTAGAAGCACGGCACCCAACACAGAGCTCGGTGAGGCGGAAAACGTTTTCAGCGACTTCCTTGCACAGGAGTCCGGAGACTTTCAGCAGGACAGCAGCGGACTTCTTCAATTCCCTGAGTTTCGGGCCGATGATGTCGAAGACGATTTTACTAGTGAATTTGAGCCAATTGGGGAGCTGGATGATGAAGGCAGGAATGAAGGTTAGTGATGATCTATGGTTGTGTAGTGATGTCACTGACTTCAATCAAAATCGCAGAGCTGCTCCTTGAGAAATGGAAGTCTAAAAGAAAACACTATCTCATCCTGTCTGCTGCTGGGAAACCCATTTGGACCAGACATGGTGATGGCGGACTGATCTCGGGCTACATAGGTGTCATTCAGACGATCATATCGTTTTACGAAGATGCGAATGATCGTTTGAGCAGTTTTTGCGCCGGGAATACGAAGTTCGTGATTGTTACCAAGGGTCCATTATATTTGGTAGCCATTAGTCGACTCTTGGAGAGCGATACGCAGCTGAAATTACAGCTAGAAGCCTTGTACATGCAAATTTTGTCTACCCTAACACTGCCCTCGTTGACACATCTCTTCTCTGTTCGACCGTCTACCGATCTCAAAAGGCCGTTGCAAGGGTCTGAGACGTTACTGTCTACTCTGGCAGACAGCTTCACAAAGGGATCACCGTCCACTTTCCTTTCCGCATTGGAATGCTTGAAAATCCGCAAGTCACATCGACAAGCGATCAACAATGCGCTTTTAAAAACCAAGGTCAGCAGCCTACTGTATGGTCTGGTGGTTGCCGGGGGTAGATTAGTCAGTGTCGTGAGACCCAAAAAACATTCGCTGCATCCTGGTGACTTACAACTTCTCTTCAACATGATCTTTGAAGCAGAAGGCATCAAAGCAGGAGGTGGGGAGAGCTGGATCCCAGTCTGTTTACCGGGATTCAACAGCAGCGGTTATCTATATATGTATGTCAGTTTCCTTGATCTCCGCGAAAACTCAGGCAATACTGCCAGCGAGACGACGACAACAGAGCAGTCGGTGGCGATCATCCTGATTAGCCCGAATAAGGAGGGGTTTTTTGAGATGCAGGAGATGCGAAATTCACTTGTCGAGGTATGCAAATCTGTTACTAGAATCTGGGTTGTTCAGGACAAACTAACTCGACCCGGCGCTGGCAGCAACTGGAGAAGAATAATAGTATCAACATCATCAAAGAAGCTATCGATGGAGGTCGTCCGACTACTACTGATATTGTTCCCGGGACCGTCTTGCATCATTTCTTGTATAAGTCTCGGGCAAACGTCCAATTCACCATGTCCTCTTACGACCCTGAGTTCACATCGATTTCTCGGCGTCGAAGGTTTGTCAACTCCGTTACGCCATCTCTTAAACACTTGTTATGTTCGTGGACTAATGTAGTTTGGGTGCTTCTTCTTCAGATTGATGTCAACATACAATAACCTGCACTCTAGTATTCATGCTAAGCATGCTCATGTGAAAGTTCACCATTGTATCTCCCAATCAGCCAGTTCTTTTGCTTGGGTGACTCCAATATTTGAACTTTACTGTGTTGCTGGCCCCAATGCCAATCGCAATGCACTTGCACAGAGTGCAAGTAAGGTTGTCCAGTGGGTACAACGGGAGGAAGAGCGGTTGTTTATAATTGGTGGAGCTGTAGGTCATTCGCAAGAGGGACTTTTTGGCCTAATACTGACTTTATTTCAAGGTTTTCTAATATCCAACTACTGAGGTATTCCGCTGAAAATCGAGGTCACCTATGTGCAACACATACGACTCTCCTATCAACATGGATAGAGCTCAAAGCCGTGGTGCTCGAAGCGCCTCGAACTGTCCCTAAGTCAGAATCTAGGGACAAAGATGAAGACATTGCTTTCAACATGTCTCATCTAGTAAATGCACGTTACAGCTCGAGCCAACGGCCAACGGTCTAGTCGATCGTGTCGTCTCGTAGGGCAAAGAGCTGCTGCATGACCTCGTCTGCTTTGCTTCGGATGGCGTTGTGATACATAACGTTTGTGATGAATTGCTTGATACCCTTGATCTTTGCCGCGGTCTTCGACGCCAGGTCGAAGTGGACATACATGTCCTCTACGTACGTCGCTGCATAGACCGGGACTTCGTTGTCCGCGAGTCGAGCCTCATCATAAAGCTGAGGCCACTCGGCCGTCGTGGCAAGGATGTTTGCAGCGTCTTTGACTTGCTGCAGTTCGGTGTATGACTCAAACATATCCTTATAGATCTGTGGTGACGAGTTGAAGTTAACCATTGCTGCTGGGAATCTATCGGAGGAAAAAGCCTACCATTTCTCCAGTGAACAATATCTTTGGCTGCTTATCGTCAATGTTAAACTGCGCATCAGCTGAGCGTAACCGATCAGCGGACCAATTTGAGGCTTGCCTGGAAGGTGTTAGATTATTTCACCTCCCACCAATAAGCTAGATGCAAAAAGCCTTTCTCACCCTTGGCAGTAGATCGCTTCATGAAGGATGGCGTAAATGATATTGTTGTCGAAGCCACCGTAGCTGTCGATGGCGGTCAAGGTTGGATGTGTGAGAAGCCTGAAGATCTCCAGGTCGTTACACGCGCGTAGGACCAGATCTGCCGACTTCGGAGTTAGTGAAAGATATAACTTGAAGCATACGGTGTAATATCACCATGAACGCTATCGAGACCGCCTGCAAGTCGTTAGAGCCACTAGTTGTTTATTCATCAGGACGATCAAGTTCACATACCGTGCATTCCGAACATGATACCAAGTTGTTGGATGCGTTCCGGTGTCAGAGTGCCAGAGGGCACGGTGACGCGGTTCTCTTTCAAGTACTGAACGAGTCTCTTGACTCGATCAACGTCTTCAGGAAACTTGGTATAGTATGCATTGTTTCTCTCCTTGACCTTTTCTTCTTCGAGTTAGAATGGGAACAGACACGCCAACTCAAGCCCAACATACCGTATGTACGCTCATATACCGTATCCGGACCATTAACAAGAGGAGGAAGCCCGCCGCAGATGAAGGCCTCTGTCAATCCTTCTGGGCTTTGAATCAAATAGACGTATTATCAATAAAGCCGAACTACATGGATGCAGTGGGGAAGACTTACAACATAGAAAGATACGTTACAGCACAGAACCCACCGAAACTCTGGCCGATGATACTCCATTTACGTTGGTCCTCGGGGTAGTCCGTAGTAAGGCATCGACGGATAGCTTCGCAGTCACGGACAATATTATCCGCACGGAATTGCTTCAGGTACTCAGCCTGTTTCACTGCACTGCCTTGAAGGGCGAGAGTTCGAGCCGTTATCGTCGAGCTCATGCCTGTACCACGCTGGTCTAGGAACAGCACCTACACAACGATGAGGACATGAATCATCAAAGGAGAAATATCTGAGACAAAAATTGAATACACACCTGGTACCCCTTGTCGAGCGCGGTTCCAACCCAGCCGTACTCTTGCGGAGGTCGACAGCCCATCCCCGGGCCTCCTTGAAGATAAACCAACCAAGGGAGCTGCTTCTCGCCCTTACCATTCGCAGGATCAACTGGAGTCTCCAGACGACGGACGCTCCGAGCAAAGAGTCTCAGATTGCCGTCATTGGGTTTACAGTAGTTCACGGGCACATCAAACAGCAGCTCTGCCACGCGAAACTTCCCTGGAGATTCCCGCTTGTCAGCGCGCGTTATGAGCAAAGAGTCCAAATGGACGAACCTGGGATGTTATGAAACTTTCTATCATTTAACTTTGCAGCCATCGTCATGATTCTTGTGGGATGTTGGTTACGAGTAGGAGTTGTTATCAATGCAACGGAAGGTAGCTCGCACTGTGAGGGTCGTGTTGAGGAGGGGAAATGCTAAATGCTGCGGAGGTTACTAGGAGGGCTGCAACGGGACGATCTACCGCATCAATGGAGGAAAGAAACAGTCTTGACTACTCCGTAGTATTCATCGCTAAGAACTGAAGCAGACTCAATTCGAATAGAGTTCAATCATCCATAAATTTATCCCCTCGCTTTAGTCATATGGCTAACTAATTTCTAGTGCTTACCCACCGGAGCTAGGCTGCAAGTGATTTGGGGGCATATATGAATCATATCCGATTTTCTATACGCCCACCTTCCAACATCGGAATTTTCTCAATCATGGAGTCAAAAGAAGTCGATACCACACTCGAAAAGCAGCAAGACTTTCAACAGGAATTATGGAAGATTGCCCAGAGCGAATGGAAGTCTGACATCTTACCAAGTGCCAACGATCTGGCACGCGCAAGAGCATCTTTGCCAAAGTCGCTATCCAATGCTGGAATGGGATATGAAGCCTCCAAGCAGCATATCCTGGACGATATTATCCCAGGCTTGAATGGCAGCAGCATCAGCCCTAATTACTATGGCTTCGTCACCGGCGGCGTAACACCCGCCGCTTTATTTGCGGATAACGTGGTCTCCGCTTACGACCAGAACGTCCAGGTGCATCTTCCGGAGCATTCAGTTGCTACAGATGTCGAATATAGTGCGTTGGGTTTGTTATTAGACCTCCTTCAGCTGGATCGGAGCTCCTGGTATAATGGTACATTTACGACTGGAGCAACCGCCAGTAACATCCTCGGTCTAGCCTGCGGAAGGGAATTTGCCGTGGAAGCCGCCGCAAAAAGTCGAGGGGCCGCCTTGCAGAGCGTTGGACAGCATGGGTTATTCGAAGTCATGCAGGCCTCCGGTCTGTCGGGACTACAGGTGCTCTCGACGCTACCTCATTCGTCTCTGGTGAAAGCAGCGGGCATACTAGGGATCGGTCGTGCAAATGTGAAGAACATCTGCCGTGATGATAATCCGCTTCTCTTCGACCTAGCCAGACTCGAAGCAGAATTGGCAAGATCTGAAAAGGCAACTATCGTCGCTGTGTCATGCGGTGAGGTCAACACCGGACACTTCGCAACGGCTGGTCTCGAAGAAATGCATGAAATACGCAGGCTCTGCGATAAATATGGCGCCTGGCTACATGTCGATGGAGCCTTTGGCATCTTCGGCCGGGTTCTGGACGATAGTCTGGAGTTTGCTTCCATCAAAAAGGGCTGTCAGGGCATCGAGTTAGCAGACTCCATCACGGGCGATGGGCATAAATTGCTCAACGTGCCGTATGACTGCGGGTTCTTCCTTTGTCGTCACGCTACTGTAGCACATGATGTCTTCCAGAATGCCAATGCAGCCTATTTAACGTCCAGTATGACGGATGGGCCCTCAATCCCTTCTCCGTTGAATATTGGAATCGAGAACTCTAGGCGATTCAGAGCATTGCCGGTCTATACCTCGCTGTTGGCTTACGGCCGCGCAGGATATCAAAATATGCTCCAGAGACAGATACGGCTGGCTAGGAAGATTGTGGGGTGGGTTTTCGATCATCCGGCATACGAAGTATTACCGGAAGCGATTAACAAAGAAGACGTACTGGAGAAGACGTATATGAGCATCCTCTTCAGCGCGAAGGATGATGTACTCAATCAAAGGCTGGCATCGACGATAAATGCAACTTCCAGAATATACGTCTCCGGTACTTCGTGGCAGGGCAGATCGGCTTGCCGCATCGCTATCTCGAATTGGCGGGTCGACGTAGAGAGAGATTTTGCGATTGTGACTGATGTTCTGGAAAGTGTGGCCAAAGGACAATAGACTTGTCTCAGTCTCGATGAATCATCATTTACCTCTCCAGATGTTTGCCTCGATTCTTCCGGCTAGTCAAGGGATATCGATAATCGCATGTGTACCTATCTCGCCCAGACCCCTGTTACTAAATCTCAACATGAAAATAGTCCATTTCTAGGTTCATATGCTGCTGCGGTGAATTGTTAATGGTCTTGAATTACGCAGTGGGTTTTAGGATCGGCGAGAAATAAAGCTGAACAGTATGCATCTATGTTAAAACCAATTTTGTGGTATACATCACTTACATACATCACCTGCGTCGCCCAGCACCACCAAGGTTATCAGTTCGGTCAGCGATGCTAACAACCTCACCAATGCCAGCGGCTTCTTGTTCATCTTCCAGAGCCATGATTTCCTCTCTGCTATCCCACCACTTTTCTTCCGCCATATTGAACGCATCCTTGCGTAGTTCCTTCACATTCTTCTCCACCGTAATGCCCTTCTCTTTCAAGGTATCTAGCAGAATCTTCTGCCACTCCTCAGACGTACGGCTAAAGAAATCGCGCAAGCTCTCAAAGGGTCGGGGTAGAGGTCGGCTGTCCTGCGCAGAGGGCTCTGCTTCCTGTTCCTCCACTTCAAGCTGCTCCATTCCCTGGGTGACTGACGGTACTGTGACCTCGGTAGGTGCTGGAGAAGCAGAGTCCAGAGACATTGCGTTTTCGTCATCGTCTTCTTCCTCCTCGTCTTCATCTTCATCGTCCTCATCCATCTCATCGTCACTCTCCGCTTCGTTGAGAAGATGCCAGTTCTCAGGCTCCTTGTAGTATATTTCCTTGACACCGTCGAGTTTCACCAAATCAATGGAGTACATATCATTGAAAGTGAACTCCCGGTCACCATTCTCAAATGTTCCGCCGAATATGAATAGGGTATCGTCTTGCACGGCCAGTTGTGCATTGAAACGCTTGTGAGGCATCTCGAAACGTACAATACAGGGTTTCTCTGGCTCCGTAGGCTCATCCTCCATTCTGTCAGCGATTCGCTGAAACTCGTCATCATCGTCCAGATCGCGGAGCCCTCCTTTTGCTTCTAAAGCTTTCAAATTCTGGAGAAGATCCTCTTCGTCGGCCTTTGCCCGATTTCGAGATCTCATCTGGTTAGCCTGCTGCTTCTTACCGGTTGCTCTTGGACGGCGAAGAGTAAGAGGGAAGAAACGATTCCTGTCAGTGTTCCAAGCCAGCAGCGTGTCAAAGAACTCGCTATCGATACCCTCCTCACTGAGTTCAACGTCATGGACACCGCCGAACATGATACCTCGTCCTTTGTGGTACGCCATAGTGGCGCCGGCACGGGGGGGGTTGGGCGAGTTTGCGGGCTTCTTGCGGCGTTCCCAGCGTACTGTAGGAGCCGCGGACGCAGGGGCATCAGCGTCAGGTGGTGTAATTCGTAGAAACCAAGTGTCCTGATGGACCATGGGCTTCATGGTCATGCGTTGGGGACCACCCTTCTGTGGCTTTCCTCCCACCCCAGTGGACGCCTTCACGCGGGAGTAACCGCCGTACAGTACGGCTCCAGATTCGTGTGGCAAGAATGAGAATGATGACCGAGGATCAGGCTTTTGAGCTGCCGGGGGCAGTGTAGGGTTGAACCAGGTGAATTTTGAGCAGTCGTAGATCCACAGGTCCTGGAGGTACTTTGTTTGCTGTGAAGTATCCTGAAACCCTCCGAAGAGGATAATATAGTTCTGGATGGCCTCAGCATGATATTCACTAGAAGTGAATCGACTTTGATACACACCTTGAAATATGTCATTCTGTGGCCACTTCTAGCTGGCGGGCCTTTGCCTTTGGTTTCGAGGCGAGTCCATTCTCTGGTGGCAGGGTCGAGATGCCAAAAGTCATTGTAATGATAGAACGTCCCCTGCTTTGGTGAAGAGAATTCACCTGAACATTGGAAGTAACAGTTAATACGAATTCTTCCAGGATAACTTGCACAGGGCTCACCTCCGAACAAATAGACACCTCCGGCATTTCCTCCACGGCACCATGCATGTCCGCTTCGAGGTAGAGGGCTGTTGGGACTGGTAACTTCCTTCCACTCATCTCGATCAATGTTGTAGACGAAGAGATTATTGAAGAACGTAGCAAGCGTGCCATCAAAGTGCTCGCCACCAAATATCAAGAGCTCGTTCCGGTTTGAGGGAGACGCAAGTATTGTAGCAGAGGTACGTGGAGACGGCGGTCCTGAGACTACCTCAGTGACCTTCAGGAATTTAGCTTGCTCTTCAGCATATTGAGCCAGGATCGCATCCAGATCGACATCTTCTGTGTCACTATCTGCGTCGCGCCCCTTTGTCTTGTGCCTCTTTTCTTTTTGCGCAGCCTTCTTGGATTGCTTTGCTGCTACCCGCTCCTTGTGCTCGGCGGACTTCTTATTTTTCTTGCCCATGGTGGAGATTAGTGATGGACTGGGATTGACTTCTATGTTTGTACCCTCTGATGTTTTTCTAGCCTGCTGGATGTAGGTCCCTTGTCTGTGAACCTGAGGCAATTACTTCTCTTAATTGATGCCGCAACGGCGCAAATCATATGGCGCGGGGTTTGTAGGGGTTAAAAAAATGCGAAAAAAATTCCCCGCAATTGGCCACTTATCGTGTAAACCAGATACCACGCAGACACAGACACAGACACTGCTGTCGATGAGAACAGTAGACACATAGACTTTGCAAACGCTTAATTACAAGAAAGGGCTGCAGCCAGGGGTGATTTCACCTACAAGCTGATTCTCCTGCAGAGCGCTACCTCTTGGAGCACTACGAGAATATGATCCTCCAGATACCACTATACGAAGTTAGATATACCAATCTGGAGTGAAGAATATCAGGGAACAAGTTTATGTGACTGGAATCAAGTACAGCTTCAGAAGAGCTTCAAATAAAGTCAAATAAGTAAATAAAGCCTTGGGAAAGAGAAGTTAGAACGTCTCGAGAGCATACATTTCCAGAATACCGATACGTCTGGATTCCTGCCATAATTTGATGGCATCCACGATAAGCAGATAAGATATCCTGTTTAGTAGAAATTCCACGTGACAGCGTGTACAGACGCGTCTATCGCTTGGTTTATCCTCCGATATGCATAATTGATGAAACGCGATATCAAAATCAATACCACCAAAAAATCGACGCCGACATCGTTGGAGGCACGAACACAATCATGAACCCGAAAGGACGTCTCTATGACTAAAAATAATTTGGACGTCCATCTCCAATGGCTGCTGGACCAAGGCCCTTCACTATACCCTTCATTGACATCATTCGCTCAAGAGATTCAGAACTCTGCCAGCCGACAGCCTACGACTCGCCCTCAGCCAGCGGACTCGAATGCAAGCACTGATCGATTGGGTAGTATCCATGTTGGCGATTCCCAGGTCATCAGAGAGACCGAAACGAACGGAGAGAAAGATGCTGGAGGCGACGTCATAGAGCTAGACGACTCGAACATGGCACGATTGCTACTTGCCCCTCAGTCTGCGAGTAAATCTCGATTGCTTAGTCGCCCTGGAGAACGCCAGACAAGTACTGGAGGTGCCGCAAAAGCCCGTCCCCTAGCGCAGTCTTTTACAGAACAGAGAGGAACAGCAGACCCGCGCGGTCTTGCTCAAGGTAGGACAGTGAACTTTTGCTATGTTTCCTTGAGCTGACGATGTCCTGGACCATGTAGCGACTCAGCGAGGCTTTTCTGCTTCTTTTGATAGTCCTGGTCGGCCGTTAAGCACGCCACTTCGATCGAAGCATACGGTGGATCTGACGTCGCCTTTAGAGGATATTGATTCCATCGACTTGACAGGCGACGTGGAACAACCTACGACCTCGTCTGACACGGTGGAAGATTACGGTACTCCACAGCGATTATGGGCAGAAGATGCTGCGTCCCGCAAAGAACCAGTCGAGAAGAAGGGCAGAAAACGGAAAAGCGACGAGTACATTTCAGATGTCTTGCCACCAGGGCGGAGCGCCTACAAACATCGATCACCCTCGCCTCTCATCTCCGCGAACTCTGCATATCCTGAACGCAGTGGCTTGTCAATTCAGTCTCAAGCTCGACCAAACAAATCACAACAAGCTTCGAATGGTCGTATCTCGTCACCGGTGAAACAGGGGGAACGTGAGGCCTCCCTATCTCGGCCCGCTCGACCACACACTGTCATGGCTGATTCTGACGATAATGACGACACTGACAACTTGTTTGAATGGATTGAAGAGGAAGATGATCCGATTCTTTGTGATAACGACGCTTTGTATCCTGTCCTTCCTACAGTCTCCTCTGTCAGCGACACCGAAATGGCTGAGCCCTCAAAGCGATCAAAGAAGGATTCCTTGCCCAGTTTACCTCCAGTTAGTGCCCTACCACGAAGCGACCCAGGGCCTGCCTCAGCATCAAAGGACAGGGTGCATATGAGTGACCAGCAAGCTTCTCAGGCGCCCGGCGCATCCTATTTACCTGGCTCTCAAGCTCGGGATCAAGCCGTCCTCCAGCTTCTCAAACTTCCAGTTAGCTCGCTTGATGACTTGTTATCAAGTCTCCAAGATACCGTCACAAGGAATTCGGAAATCGTCTACGAACGAGCTATGCGAGGCGAGCCAGCTTCTGAGTTAGTCTCTGAGAACAAGTCCATCCACGAGAAAATGGATGCTATACGCTTGATGAAACAAGAGAAAGAGGATTATCAGGCATTTGAAGCGAAGCAGGAGAGCTTAAAGAAAGCTCTTATACAACTGATATCACGAGGATGTGACCCACAAACGATGCCGGACGAACTTGCTCAAAGTCGAGACGTCACATCAAAGCTTCAGAAGATTGAGGAGAATATGAGTCGCCTACTGAGGACAGCCGGCATTGACACTGAGACTCTGAATTCGATGTCTCGAGATGCAGAAAAGCGTAGCTCGCAACCAGCTTCCTGCGATTCCCGACCTTGTACTACGGAATCTTTGAAGGATGGGGACATTGCGCGTTTGGAAAGGGCGCGAGAAGTTCCCGGCTCTCACATAATGTCTCCCGTGCGGAACTCGTTTGACCGTAATCTTTCGCGGACGAATGTAGCCGAACGTACGTCTGGCACGTCATTCAGGACACCTGGCGGGGGTAACGCGCTTGATGAGTTCGACTTAGATGAGCCGATGATCTATGAGGAACGTGAAGCATTTACCAGAACTATGGGAACTCCGTCACGCCCGCTTGGCAATGTCGATGAGTTTGATCTCGATGCCGATGATGTGGATATGCTCGAAGCCGCAGAGCATTTTGACGACGGTCTGACCTTGACAACCAAAACCTCTGGATATGAATCTCGCAGAGTCTTTGCTGAAACTTCCGGGAACGCCTCTCGTATGCCTGCAACGCAGAAGTCGCAAATCCACAATCCCCTGTGGAATCAGAACCCGTGGACAAAGGATGTGAAGAATGTGTTGAGAGATAGGTTCCATCTTCGTGGATTTCGAATGAACCAGCTTGAGGCTATAGATGCTACTTTGAGTGGAAAGGATACCTTCGTCCTCATGCCTACCGGAGGAGGAAAGTCACTCTGCTACCAGCTGCCCTCCATTGTTACTAGTGGCTCAACCAGGGGAGTTACGATCGTGGTGTCGCCGCTCTTAAGTTTGATGCAAGACCAGGTGTCTCATTTGAAACGACTAAAGATCAAAGCATTCTTATTAAATGGTGAAACAAAGCAAGAGGAGAGGCAGTGGATTATGCAGACACTGTCTGGGCCTGCAGCTGAAGAACAGATCGAACTGCTGTACATCACCCCGGAGATGGTCAACAAGAGTCAAGCTCTCATCCGAAGTCTGGAGAAGCTCAATAGACGACGCAGACTTGCTCGTATTGTTATTGATGAAGCTCATTGTGTCAGTCAATGGGGGCACGATTTCCGCCCTGACTACAAAGCGCTGGGAGAAGTGAGAGATCAGTTGCCCGGCGTTCCCATGATGGCACTGACTGCCACGGCAACAGAGAATGTCAAAGTAGACGTCATCCATAACTTGAAGATGGAGGGTTGTGAGATCTTTACTCAAAGTTTCAATCGTCCCAATCTGACGTACGAGGTACGACAAAAGACGAAATCTGCCGAGGTCCTGGAAAACATAGCGGACATCATCAAGACATCTTACCCTAATAAGTCCGGCATTATCTATTGTCTGTCGCGCAAAACTTGTGAAACTGTTGCCGAAGCTCTTACATCACAACACAACATCAGGGCCGAATATTATCATGCTGGTATGGATTCCTCCAAGAGGGCGGAGGTACAGGAATGGTGGCAGTCCGGCCGCGTTCATGTGATAGTCGCGACTATCGCCTTTGGAATGGGTATCGATAAGCCTGACGTACGCTTCGTTATTCACCACAGCATTCCAAAGAGCTTAGAAGGATACTATCAAGAGACTGGGCGGGCAGGTCGAGATGGCAAGCGCTCAGGATGCTATCTTTATTACTCTTATCGCGATGCGACCTCTATCATGAGCATGATTGACAAAGGCGAGGGTGGCAAGCAACAGAAAAATCGACAGCGCCAAATGTTACGGAACGTCATGCAGTACTGTCTTAATCTTGCGGATTGCAGAAGAGTGCAGATTCTTGCATACTTCAATGAGTACTTTCGCCAAAACGACTGCAACAAGTCTTGCGACAATTGCAAGTCTAACGGTATTTTTGAGCACCGTGACTTCTCTCAGCAAGCCGCTTCTGTTTTGAAGATTGTGCGATACTTCCAGGACCTAGAGGACAAGGTTACTATGTCTTATTGCGTGAATATCTTCCGGGGAACCGTGAAAAGATTTCGCTCCCCTGAGCACAAGGATGCACCTGGTTTCGGCGCAGGATCAGGGTTGGACTTGCAAGTCGCGGAACGACTCTTTCAATATCTTCTTGTCGAGGGGGCTCTCTTCGAAGAAAATGTGGTCAACGGTAGCAGATTTGCGGTTCAATATATCAAGCTTGGTCAGCGCGCCGCTGATTTCGAGAGTGGGCGTTGCAGACTGAAAATGCCCGTGCAAGTATCACCAAACGGAAAACGCCCAGCGGGAGCTGTCAGACCTCGCGCAGAAGCGCCCCAGTCCACAAATGTCTCATCACCTGTGCAATCAGCAAATCGCCGACTCTTGGCACAGTATCGTTACCAACGCGATCCCGACGGCGAAATGGACAGTGACGGCTTTGAACAGATTCGAATAGCCGGCAAGCCGCGACACGAAGCCCGTCGCAGTCCGGGGCCGCCGATCACCGTTGACCAGCGATTCGACAGCCTCGATTCTCTCCATAAAACAGTCGCCGAGGATTTCATGTTCTATGCAAAGAACTTCTGTCAGGACGTAGGGTGTCCCATTCATACTCGTTATCGGCATGATTGCTAACTTTATAGCAGTTGATGCTTAAGAAGAATCTTCGAAACCAGCCTTTCAGTGATGGGATTCTGCGCGAAATGGCCATAGTCTTTCCTAAAAGTGAGTGAACCATTACTTTTCAAGCTAGCTAGGGAAATGCTCATATCGAGTAGACCTGTCCGAACTTGCTCAGATCCCTGGAATAGACCCAGATAAGGTCAACCGGTACGGGACACAGATACTGAAGCTCGTACGCGATGCTCAGCGTCGGTATGAGGAATTGAAACAGGAACGTGACAATAACGATGATGTTGTTCCGGATCCTAACCATCATAATGTGTACAACCTCACGGAAGACGAGGACGAGTTTAGCGATGGTGATGACCTATTCGTGGACCAACTGGTATCGATTGAGAAGGAAGACAAGGTCGTTTCAAGTCGATACTTCCCATCGCAGCCAGGGGCGGAATCTGAATCATCCGACGAGTATGAAGACACCCAGACTAACCGTTCCAAGAAAAGAAAGACTTCGTCCAAGAAGCGATTCCACCGCAAGAACGCTACAGGGTCGAGTTCAAGGACAAAAACGCCGCGACCTAGAAAGAAGCCCAGCGATCATGTCGACAAGCGCTCGGCTGGTTCCCGAACTGGCTCCAAAGCAAAGAATACGGCCAAGAGTACTTCTACCAGCATCGGAATGATGCCGATCTGATACCCGGCTGCGGGCTTTCTTCTCCATGTTTCATTTATGGCATTAACGGTATATTTTAAACACCGAGCATTGAACTTTTTGATGAGCTTTTGATGTATATCTCGCATTTTCAAGGCGTTTTGCCGCCAGTGGCTTCCGGGGCCGCTCCTGCTTTGAAACACGTGGTTTTTGCCGGTTCTAGATTTCTGGCTTTCGGTTGAGCCGCTATATATCCGTGGGGATGGCGTCTGATTGTTTGTCTTTTCCCAGGTGTTCGGTGAATTGTGATACCATTTGTAAGCTGGGAGATGTAGTACGGTACATGTAATCATCTCAATCGACTAATGAGCGCCCAAAATCAATTAACCGAAGCTTCCTGGCATCACGCGGATGGAGTTGAGCCACCTTCGCTCTTACTAGAAAGCGCGAGGCCGCTGACTCGTGCGGAAGGTCTATGTAGGAGTAATCCGCATCTAGCAGAGCAGTAAGAAGAGCTCGCATTTCAGCCGCGGCCGCCTCTCTTTTGTTCATAGGGGTTGCCTGTTCGTTGCCCTCCTGCGCAGTTTGGCGACGAACAAGCTCGTCAATCCGCTGTTGGCCACTGTCAGAAGTCCCCACAGCCGGAGTTTTTGGGTTCTTAGGCTTCCCATGGCTAGTGTAGCCCGCTTTCAAGATAGCGTCCGAAATCTTCATTGCATCTCCGACAGTGGGACCGCCCAGATTTTCTGCAGCGAGCATTGGGGCAAGTGTGTCTTCAACAAATTTATAGAGAGAAGTCTTCAGCTCTTCTGTGGTAATATCAAGTCTCTCGATCTTTTCCTGCTGCTCCTTGACAAGATCATACGCAAGCTGAACAGGAGTTTTCTGGACTTGACTCGATTTTTCTGCGTTCAGCCGCTCAATCCTTTTCTCCAATCCATCTTTTATCAATTGCGCATCGCGCAAATTAGCTTCTTCCGCTTTCAAGCGCTGACGATCCGCAGACAGTTTCTCCGCCGTCAGTGAAATTGAGGTCTTGCTCTCCTTGACGAGACGAGATGCCTCGTCAACCGCAAGTAGAGAAGGCAAGGGCGAGCCTGGACTCGGCAGTCGCGTTTCCGATTGCAGAAGAGCATCATACGCTTTCTTGGCTCTGCGCACTTGGGAGATGCGAGCCCAAGGATCTGTCCCAATTTGAGCGAAATCAATCGTGGTGGTCATGCGTAGCTGTTCCTCTGTCAGTATTCCTAATTCATGCATGAGGTACTCTTGCGACAGTCGGCTTATATTCTAGGCGCTCGTTGACGTACCTTGCGGAGCTCATCTTCATGACGTTTGACTTGAGCCTGCAGCTCCGCCAACGTCTCATCCAACTTGCGGTTGTAAGCGTCGAAATTAGCTGGGTTTACAGGGTGTTCCTCGTAGAACTCTTCCGCTTTTTGGCGCTTTTGCGCGAAACGTTGGATTTTATCCACGGTTTCTTGCGAGATATCCATAGTGGTGTTATTTATTCCCGCTAAAATTCAAATTTTATCCCAGGTCTCCTTATGCTTCAGGAGACACAGCAACTGAACGAAGAGTGTTTATGATGTTACTAACAATAATTGTCATCCATATCAGGATGGACGTTCTCACGTGATGACATCCCCATTGCTAGCCCCTTTCTGGCCTAGCCTGATCCCGTGCCGCCAGCTTGCTTCACCTCGTCTTGCAACATCATCTCTTCATCGCTACACCTGGAGGACGCTTCTTGATCCATCCTCATCTCTGTCTAACCTCATTTACTTCGTTCCCATCTTTTGTGCAGCTGCAAAGCCAAGTAGCTGCTGCTCGCTTGTTTCTTCAGTACTTGGTGTTGATTCCAGCTGTGACGAGTCCCTTTTGGGCTATTACCCGTGGCGATAACTGAGCAGCCTCCGTTTTGGGAGACAACGCGTTTTTTTGCGGAGGAGTTGCACGTCTGGATTTCTGGCAGTTGCTCAAGACTTTAGTCTGCTCTAATATTTCGTCATCTTATCCCCAACTGCTCTATTGGCAGCCTTCGAGCACGTCCGGATTCAGAGTTCTCACTACCATCACCATCCAGCATCACTTCCTCTTCGCTTCATCGTACCCTCCTACCTTAGCACCGCTTCATCTTGGTGAAGCTTCCTGCTCCAACAGCCAACGCCCGTGATAACCCAGCCTGTTCACATCTTCCTCGTCGACTGTCCTTCCTCCACCAGCCTCTGCTCTCTTCACTGTGCACGAACACCAATTTTCCTAGTCATTCCAAGCACCAGATTCCCTTCCCAGTCGATCGCCTGCACCAGCAAGTTTTATTGGGAACTCCTGGTGTACATAGTCGGTCAGTTCAGGCAGAACAAAGAAAGAAAAGAAAAAAAGAAAGCTATTCTCTTGACACTTCGCCTTCTTGCGTAAGTGAAGCCAGACTGCACTGTTGACAAAATGTCTGCTTCTCCATCCGCACTGCAATCGACCAAGCGTCCCTTGGAGGACCCTTCTTCGCCGTCCGGACCAAATGATCAGCCAGAAGCTAAACGTCCTGCCTTGGACAAAGTAGTAAAGGGAGACGAGTCGGAGGCCTATACGGATGCCAAGGCTGAGCCTTCCGCTGCACCAAGTGCCACCGCTGATGGCCACGGCGACACTGTTGTTCCTGATGCTCCAAATGGTAAGGGTGCATCCACGGAGACGCAGCCAATTCAGTCAACCGCGTCTCATGGCGAGCGCGCTACTTCTCAGCCCGAACAGCAGCGCCCACAAGATGAATCCAGCTGGATTCACATTCGCGCTGTAATCTCCAGCCAGGAAGCTGCCACAGTCATTGGCAAGGGTGGAGAAAACGTATCTCAGATTCGTCGTTTGTCTGGAGCCAAGTGCACTGTCAGCGACTACTCCCGTGGTGCAGTTGAACGTATTTTGACCGTGAGCGGCCCACAGGATGCCGTTGCCAAGGTTGGTTTTTTTAACTATCATTCGCTGTGTGAAAGACTGCTAATTCCAAGTAGGCGTTTGGTTTGATCATTCGTACATTGAACAATGAACCTCTTGATGCCCCCTCTACCGCCCAATCCAAGACATACCCTCTGCGTTTGCTGATCCCTCACCTCCTTATTGGCTCCATCATTGGCAAGGGTGGTTCCCGCATTCGCGAGATTCAGGAAGCTTCTGGCGCCCGCTTGAATGCATCCGATTCGTGCCTTCCCTTGTCCTCTGAGCGGTCACTTGTAATCCTCGGCGTTGCCGATTCTGTCCACATCGCTACCTACTACGTCGCCGTAACCCTCGTTGAGCAGCTCACTGAGCGCTTTGGAGGTCCTGCAGCCTCGGCTTATGCCACCCGCAGCGGTGGCCCTGCTGGTGCAGTGCCTGGCGGTATGCAGGTTGTCCCGTATGTTCCACAGCCCGCTGGTGGTCAATATGGCCATCCAGAACATTTCAAGAGACACCATCCCCACCCCAATCGCGCTGCTGCAGGCGCTTATGGGGTCCCTTACCTTCACGGTCAGCCTGCTCCCGCACCTGTGGCCCAGCCGGCTTTGCATTATGGAGCTGCTCCCCATGCCCCTTATGCAGGAGCTGGCCCCCATCAGCCTGCTCCGTACGGCGCACCGCAGCCAGCTCAGGCACGCGGCGCCCCTACCCCTGCCACACCCGTTGGAGGTGTTATGCCTGGTCAGCCATTGACTCAGCAGATTTACATTCCCAATGACATGGTTGGTGCCATCATCGGAAAGGGTGGTGCGAAGATCAATGAGATTCGACACCTCAGTGGCAGTGTGATCAAGATCAATGAGCCTCAAGAGAACAGCAATGAGCGCTTGGTGACTATTACCGGAACCCAGGAATGCAACCAAATGGCTCTGTACATGCTTTACTCGCGACTTGGTTAGTACTCCCCTTTAGGCACTTTGACAATCCACATAGGTGCTAACCCGACCATGGCTACACAGAAAGCGAAAAACACCGCATTTAGAAAGACTAAGTTTCAATTCCATGTGTCCTGGAGCAAGCCGATCGTCTATGTCCCATGCAAAAGTCTGCTATGTTCATTGGAGGCTTTGATGTTTCTCTCGGGTATATTCTGCGTTGTACTTTACTTTTCAAGGCGCTGTGTTTCCCTCTGCGTATCACTCCAGTTCTCATAGTAATCTATGTTCTCTTCTATTTTGCTCCCTGCGCTCGCCCACTCTTACAATATAATGCAACATCTTGCTTCACGAGGAATCAGGTCTTCTTGAAGCTGACATGTTTCATGCCCAATCCCTCCACAGCAGGAAGCATCTTGTCTCGAATTGGCTTGATAGACTCCACAAACTCCTTGGTCTCCCTAGCGTCCATATGGGCATCCACGCTCTCCCATCCCACCGCAAGAAGGTACACGAACGCCTCCCCAGACGGACTCTTCGGATGCTGGAATGTCCCTGGCCGGTGAACCTGCGCCATAGTCCAGGACTTCGGCCGCGATTTCTCGTCCAGCTTCTCTGTCAACGCCACGCGGAGGTTAATCAGATCCGAATTGAGCTTCTTGTGCTCCTCGGGATTCAGCGAACTGGGGAAAGTCAACGTTGCCAGCTCCGTGACCGGGTTCGTGGTAAAAGTCTCCGTTTCAGAGGGGGATGGGGTAAGCGTTGTGTAGAACGAGAGGACCTTCGAGTTTGGTTCGAGGTATGGGGTGAGGAGATCTGCTTGACATTTGGCATGGGAGTCTTCCCAGACTATTTTCACATGAAATCATTAGAAAATCTTCCGATAGATACAAGCTAAGGTAGTCTCAAGTGAGAAGCTCTTTGCTCTTTGCTAGGACTCACCGACTGCCCAAACCACGACATTCTCGTCCTCGACTGTCCTCCCCCATGCGGAGCTCTGGTGTCCGCTTTGTTGTTTTGTCGCGGAGAAGATCTTGCATAGGGATGCCCCTTCTTCGTTTGAGTGGTCTTCTGGTTTTACCGAAGATTTCAATTTGAAGATGACGAACTCGGTGACTGGGACGACCATTTTGTTCTCTTGATTGGGTCTGCGTTTGAGTGCGGTATTGGAAGGGCAGGTTGGATATCGGTGGGTGTGAGTAAAGTGTGCAGGTCTATCAAGGATGTTTGTCCAGTCTAGTCTTTGAGCTTATGATTCTCGTTGTAAAAGAAACGAGAAGAGAAGTTCAATCGAATGCGGAGTACCTCGAGGGAAAATGAAGTTGTTTTGAAAAGTGCAGTTGATGTCACTGGCGGGGATGATGTCAGTCCCTCTTATTCATAAGACCCAACATTGGGTACAGTGTGGAACTACGCTCAACACATAAGCAGTAAGAGATAGATATCCAAGAGTTACCACGCAATAAATTATTGCAAGACAAGTTTCAGCCATTAACATGGTATTAAAGATACCAGCAACTGAACCAAACCATACCTGAACCTATGTACAGACAATGACTGTTGGCATTGCTCAAACCACGCCATGACACCTTGTTTTGCAGCTCAACAAACATAGAAGATAGACAAGATACCCCAGTCCTACAAATCATCCACACCCCGGACCTTAGATTTCTTTGCTTCAATCACCTTCTTCAAGTTGCCAATAATATGTTGCCTACGCGACATTTTGCTCTTCCATTGTGCCGTCTCCTCCTTGGTGGCCAGTTCACCAACGCCTTCGATATTCCGAAGCCGGCTAGCCTTGGCTGACCCGTTGACGCTCGACCGGAATCTGCCTGCGGAGTCTGGAGTGTGATACGCACTGAGAGGCCCGTCAATAGACCCCCGAGAACCAGGCGTCGTAGGAAATCTTGCCATCGCCTTTTTCGGTGTGGCAAACGGGGATCCTTCCCGGCTGGCCGGAGGACCTGTTGTATCGATCCCGAGCTTCTTCAATTGGATTTCCAGAACATCAATATCGCTGCTCTTGCTCTCGGCCATGTTCATCATAGTTGCGATTGTAGATGTCACGGCTTCCACAGTGGGGCGCTTCGTTGGCTGGCGGCTGCTGTCTGGCCGAGGGGCTTCTGCAATCTTAGCCCGCAATATTGACACTGCAGATTCCAAGTCCGCCAGACTCGCTTGCAGGTTTGTGAATGCAGACCGGAGGTCTTGCTGGAGGTTCGCTTGCTCCGCGGAAAGAGGTGCGGAAAGGATCGCAGCCGTGTCAGTATGAGCGTCAAGGGTCTTTCGAATGCTTGCACACTGGCCCCTAAGAGTGAAAATGTCTTTGCTCAGTAATTCTCGGCAGGTCTCAAGCTTCTCCTCCACACGTTGCACTCGCTGCTCCTGGAGAGAATTGGCAAGCATAAGCACAGCATCGTCGAGCTTTTCGATTTCGCCGAGAAGCACCTCCTCGTCTAGAACGTCGGCTGGATGATCAGTCTTCAAGGTCTGTATCCATCTCTCGGAGTCTCGGGGCGATTGTTGATATAGAAGGAAGGACGACAGAGCCCGAGAGTTGATGCCTAGCGTATCAATCATTGAGTTGATGTCACGGTATAACCTCTCGATTTGACCGGGAATTCCCGGCTTCGTGGTTTGACCCATATAGTCCTGGTGCGGCAGGAAGGGGTCAAGTGTTGGAACAGGCTCGAGTGGTTGGGCAAGATCCGCGCGAAGTCTCTCATCTTCGTCATCGTCGGAAAGGGACAATGCTTCTTCTTCCTCTCTTTGTGCTTGAATCTTCAAGCGGGCCTGCTGTTCACGGGCTGTGCGGTCAGATTCCTGTCGGAGACGTTGATCACCTAGAGCTGCCTCGGTCAAAGCAGCCTTGCGGGCAGCAAGCGTGCTACCCGGAATTTGCGGAGCACTGGCCGATTTGTGGATTTGTGGCTTCATCAGAGTTTTCGGGATGCTGCCTCGAACTGGACTAGGCGATCTCGGGGGTTCGCGGTCGACATGAGTTTTCGGTGGGAACATGGGTTTAGCAATCTCCCCAAACAACTGACGCGGCGGTTGTTGCTGTCCAGGCCTGGAAATGCGAGAGAACAATCCTCCGGCGGGACTTTGTTCGGAGATGCCAGTGCCAAATGAACTCTCTGGTGAAATCTTCGGTGTCTGGCCAGTGATTTCGGGCTCTTCCTCTTCTTCATCAATTTCATGGGTGATTTCCTCTCCGCTATCAGCGAAGTCAGATTCATCAGCCCCCTCACTCAGCTCTTTTTCGGACTCATCCACGTCTGATTCTTCAGGCAGCGAACCAGCTTCCTCGTCAGATGCAGCAGGTGACTCAGGAGCTGCTGGTTCTGGAGGCAATGGAGCCTCGTCTGCCGCAGGCTTTCCCGCTTTGCCTGTGATCCCGCTCGTGAAATCAGGTGGGAGCGGTGCTTCCAGTTTGACATCTTCGACCGAGCTCTTAGAGACGTTGGAAGATGCAGAGGTATCGCCTGGGCCATACGCGGCCCTGCTTGTTGGGTCAGGAGGGAGAGGCGGTTCGGCAATGGAGATGTTCTCCGCTTTGGGCGTTAGGCTAGCGACAGTTGTCTTTTCCGACTGCGGAGATAGGGGACTGGTTACCTGTTTCTCCGCAGCGGCGTTTCCAAACAAGGAGAAGGGAGACTTGTTGGTTTGTGTCGCTGGCTGAGGTTGCGTCTGAGAATCGAATATCGATGTCGGTTTTGAGGTATCTAATTTAGAGGGCGCGCCGAACACTGATGTTGGAGGCTCCTTGGCTGCTGGTTTCTCGGGTTGGGTGACCGCAGGCTGATCTTCGGCGTCGTCCATCGATTCTGTTGGCGAACTGGTCTTATCAGGTGTGGATATCATATCGTCCAGGGACGTGCCAAAGGAAAATAGCCCAGATGCCTTGTCAGGCTTTGGACCATCATTGACAGCAGTGCCGTCGCCCTTAAAAGTGGAACCAAGTACGAAGTTGCTTGAGGCGCCAAAGCCACCCTTAGATTCGTCCGCCTTCTGAGGTGTGAAGGCTGAGTCGCTCTGAGCCTGGGTGCCGAAAATCGATGGGCCTGAAGGCTTAGCAAAAGGACTCTCGGTTGACACCTTGCCAAAAGGCGATTCGGTGGCAGGTTTTCCGAAAGGAGATTCGCCGGCGGCTTTCGCAAAGGGAGATTCTGTTGCCGGTTTGGATGCCGCAAAGCTGGAGAATCCTCCTGCATTCGCAAACGAGCCAAACCCTCCTCCTGCGGCAGCGCTGGGCGTACCGAAAGAGAGCGGTTTACCTGGTGTGGACGGTTGCCCAAAGCTGGGCGCAGCACTGGCTCCAAAGCCCGACTGGCCAAATTGGGGCGTTGCGCGCCCCAGAGTACTAGGCGCGCCGAATGAAGGTTTAATCTGGGATGGCGATCCAAATGATGGGCCACTGGGAGCCGAGGGCGTTCCAAAGGCAGGTTGTCGGCCACCTAGGGCTGAGGGGCTGCCAAACGCTGGGGCAGCAGAAGGTTTGCCAAACGGCGACGACCCCATCGCCGAAGGGCTGCCAAAGGCCGACTGTCCAAACGCAGGCTGTCCGAACGCAGGTCGCGTTGTGGGCTGCGCTGGTTCTGTTGCTTGTGCTTGGGGTTGCGGTTGCGGTGTCGGTGGTTGCGGGCTTACCGAGACCAGACCATGGTAGGGCAGTTTCTGGCGAATAGACTCTGAATATATGATCCACCAAGAGCACAGTATGCCTTCGTTGTTCAAGAGGAAGAGATTGGGCAGAGGCGTGGAACTTTCCGCAATGTCTTCGCCTTGGATTGGGGAAACCACGGGTTCGGTGCTAGAGAGGTCAACCCCTAATCCAATTACTGAAGTATCACTAGCGGCCTCAGTTAAAGGGAGTGAGGCTCTCTTTGTGTCGTCATTGACCTCTGTTGTTGTAAAGAGACCCACGGTGCCTTTGGCAGCGTCATCGCTAGCTAGTGGTTGATCGGACCGCGTGATAAGACCTATATCTGTAGATGCTGTTGAAGATACGATTAGGATGTCTTTCAAGTGTGGCTTGTAGTCCCTCAGACGCGCAATAAACTGGTAGGCTGGGGCGCGGTTGACACCAAATGGCATGCACAGTTCCGGCATCTTCTGGACCAGGAAAGGTGCGCCTTTCCTTCTGGTGATGATATAGTACGAAGACGGAGGCGTCTGACCCATATCATCTTCGGTCGTATTTGGAGTATATACCATCAAGAATATGTCATTTTCAAGCCAGGCAATGGACGACACTATTCGAGATTAGTGACGGAACTTACAATGAGTGAAATTGCCCAACGTACCATGACAATCGCCTTCCAGGTCAGAAGGGCGGGGTATTACGTCCTTTTGGGTACCGTCAGGAGTTAGTTGAACTGCTGTTCCATCTGCAAGACCAGCCACAAGCTGTTTCCCTTTGTTACTCCAGCATACGGAGCTTACTCCAGTCCTGAGTACCTGCCCGCTAGATCCCCGGATTAGATTCGCTCCTTTCAAATCAGCAATCAAAAGCTCGCCATTTGCTGTGACTAGTGCGACCAGCGATGAAAGGATATCTTCTGACGGTGTAGGATTGGGTGCCATGGCGCGAAGGGTCGTGCCGTTCATCGGGATGGCCAAGGCAGGCTGCGGATTTCCCGTCAGCAGAGTCGCAGTCTGATAGACCACAAGTTCCGCGCCATTCTCGGTGGCTAAGACTAAGGCATTGTCGCCCGAGGCGAAAGCCACATGTGTAGGTCGCGCAGGAAGGGGTAGAGTCGCTTGTGGTTGGAAGGGTTTAGTCTTGACTTTGCTTTCCCCGGTCGTTGCGCCGATGGCCTTTCGCACTGCGTCCGACGACGCGACAACAAGCGAGTTTGGGGCGCCACCGGCCACTATTCCTTTGGTCGGCGCGACAGCCAGAAGGGAGCTTGTTGGAGCTGGAAGGGCATCTTCAGGCCAGGGGGTAGGAAGGAACCGGACATTGCTATCGCCGGAAACACCTTTGAAACCGACCTCCTGATTCTTCTATCAGCAATCGATGACGACAAGAACCATTCATAACAACGATGAGAAGGTGACGTACATCAGCAATAACATCCGGGAGCTCGGGTCCCAGCTCAGCGGCAGGACCTCCAGCAGCGGGGTTGGAAGCCCCGAAATTGAAAGCCATTCTGAGGCTGTCCAGGTCAGACGAAATCGATCGAGGACGGTCGCCTAAAGATAGACTGAACTTTGGTGCATGGGGAGAAGGTGGGCTATGCGGTGGAGGTGGAAACGAGCGACGCTGGAGTGCTTGGGGACTCCGGTTGAACAGCTTCCAAGTGCGCGCAAAAATCTTGGATGTCCCCTCAAAGGAAGGGAGAGTATCAAGAGTGGAAGATTAGCGAGGCGGCCAGATTGAGTTAGCCGGACAACAGTTGTTCGGCTTTCAACAATAGAGCAATCTCCTAAATTGTCCGACGAGCACAAGTGAAGCCTCGAGCAATAATCATCATAATTTCCGGCGGAACAAAAACAGCGGAAGCTCTGGGGCGCGTTGCAGGCCTTGTTGCCTCAGGCATAAGCGATTAGGCGGCGGGAGCTTCGTCACTGCAGCAGTTCCAGCTCCTCCGCCGCCCATCACCACCGACTACCTGGCTCCTCAAGGTTCCCGTATTTCTTCCATTGATTCATTTACCAGTTCCGCAGCGACCACTTGATCTTGAAGACACTTATCCTAACACAATCTTGCGTCGCTCGTCGCCTATCTTGCCTATCCTTACCTATCCCTCTCCGCGCCCATCAATATGGCAGGCTTCGACTTCTCCAACTACAATCGCAACGCGGCTCTGCACGCCAAAGGTGTGCCTCTCCCGAAAGCGACAAGTACTGGTACAACAATCGTGGGTTGTATCTTCGATAATGGTGTTGTGGTAGGTGATGATGGCATCCACCGAATAATCCCTAGTGATGATGGACTGTCCGGAAGCTCACTCAATCTTACCCTCACAACAGATCGCCGCAGATACCAGAGCTACGAGTGGTCCTATAGTCGCAGACAAAGTAAGTTACATATATATAAGCTTCTAGAAGACGTGTGAATGCTAATCATTCCGATCCTACATAGAACTGCGAGAAACTTCACTACATCGCCCCCAAGATCTGGTGTGCTGGAGCCGGTACTGCTGCAGACACCGAATTCACAACCGCCCTGATCAGCTCCAACGTCGAACTGCACTCTCTGTCGACGGGCCGGCCCCCACGAGTAATCACCTGCATGACCATGTTGAAGCAGCACCTCTTCAGGTACCAGGGACACATCGGCGCCTATCTGGTCGTCGCGGGCGTCGACCCGACAGGCGTCGGTCTTTTCACCGTCCACGCCCACGGTTCAACCGACAAGCTCCCCTACGTCACCATGGGCTCTGGCTCTCTGGCCGCCATGTCTGTTTTCGAGTCGATGTGGAAACCGCAGCTGAACCGCGAAGAGGCTATCGCTTTGTGTTCGGAAGCTATCAAAGCCGGTATCTTCAACGACTTGGGCTCCGGTAGCAACGTTGACGTGTGCGTCATCCAGAAGGATAAGCCCACGCAGCTACTGCGTAACTACATGAGGCCCAACGAGCGTGGTGAGAAAGAGCGCAACTACCGCTTCCCTAGGGGCACAACGGCCTACCTGAACGAGAAGATCATCACCAAACAGGACATGAGAAAATATGTGACTGTGGAAGATGTCTCTGGGGATCCAAACCTCATGGAGGTAGATTCGTGATTGAGCCGAGGGTAGCAAGAACTTGAACATGGTCTACCTTTATTGTCTGTTGTTTCTTGTGACGCCAAGAATCTAATTGAAGGATCAATTGCATGTCTTAATATCATCCTACTGAGGACGACTAAACTCACCAATATCCTCATGAGAGATAGTAAAGTTTGCACCGCGTAGTCACATGCAGGAGGATAGTTCTTCGGAAATTGCTTCGAACATCCATGCTAATTATACAGCGTGATCAAGCCTCTGCGGTTTGACATAACGTCTCCATAATGCTGAGATAAGGTAACTATATACAGAATATGCTATTCTGTTTCCTATGAAATGACCGCACATCAAGTCATCTGTCCTCAGGCCGAGTTTTCTCACTTCCCGCTTTCCCCCACGCGGGGCGGCTCCATGAGGGCTTGCACCATTTCCGGTGTCTCAATTTCTTTCACGCGGTCAAGGATGTAGGCATATTGAGTGGGCGCAACGTTCAACCCTGCTCTTCGGAAACGCAATACACCAGCATGATACATAGCGCGCACAAGTGACGGTTTCACGTGCGCGTTGTGCTTCATCAGGAAATCGTAGAGCCAGTGGACCAGCGCATAGGCACGGCGCGGGCTGATGTTCCTCGAACATGCGAGAGAAACAGCAAAGAGGTGGAGCATCTCTACGGCCAAATGAGGGTCTGGGCAGAGCGAGGTTCTTGGCTCTGGGTAGTAGCGCACCAGAGCTTTTTCCGAGGGGTCTGGGACACGCGGCCAAAAGCTCGATATCGCAATTTTGAGGGGAGTGTGGCAACGGAATAAACGGATCAGTGTCCAGATTCTTTGAACGTTCCCGTCTCTGGCGATTTCAATGGCATGATTTACGAACGAAGGGTCGGTGACATCGATCTGCCGTGCCATCTTCTCATAGACGGAGAAGAAATGGGTGTTTGACGCGTTGTAAGCATGGATATCTGAGAACATCTCTGCAAAAGACACTTTTGTCGTCTCGAGTTTCGCCAATGTCCGTCTTTGAGCTCGCGTCGTGCGTCGCTTTGCAGCCTTCAATTCCACGACCGACATCAGCAGGCCGTTAGATGGTATGCCGAGGGTGTGGATTTCCAGCATCAAGCTGCTTAAGAGGTCCTCGTAACCGCCCTTGTCGAGAGTAGATTCGTAAATTGTGCAGAGATGGGTTATCGGTGAGTCAGTCACCCTCCGGTCTTTTCTCCAAAGCGGACCCTGGGGGAGATATTTGCTAAGAGCTCGCAACATCCAAATGCGCAAGATGATTTGGTGCCTCAATGATAGTGTCGAGTTCATCTCTTGCGGAGATCCCAATGACTCGGCAGTATGTTGCGTGCCAATGTCGACCCATATCTGTGACGAGACAATACTTGTTATGTTGTCAAGCTCGGACAAGCGGCGCTGCCACTCAAGCAAGCAGCCCATCTTCGTAGACACCATATACTCGGCTGTGCGGATAATGATTTCAGATGTGGCAGTGGGATGGAAATAGCCCAAAAGCTCCTTGATAAAATGCCGATTGCTGCTACGTCGTGATTCCGCCGAAACTTTTAGCCAGCATGCAATCAGAGTAGGCACCCATCGACAATCAGCTGAACTAGGATCCTGGGTTGCCAGAATCACGTCCTTCGCCAGTATGAAGTCCTCATAAGTTTGTCTTTCGCAAAGGATGCTTAGCCATGCATCGACTATATCCTTGCTAAGATCCTTGTGTCGATAGATATCACAACGTCCGATGGCGTCCCACATCTCCCGATGAAACCTGACCAGGAACCTGGAGTTCCGTGCTGTGGATCCATTCGATCGTTCGAATTTAACATTTGATATAGTCTCTATGATACCTTGAAGCTCACTGGGATGTAAGAGCCCTAGCTCCAACGATCGAATGACGGCGTCGAATACCGGCTGTTTCCTGAGAATCGCCGCTGTTGATAAGGTATGCTTAAGAGCGCACAGATAATTTCCAGCCCCCCTAGTATTAAGATATGGATCATCGAGAAATTCGACAACCTTCTTCATGGCGCCCTCGATGTTGGCTGATCGCCGCAGAAAGTGCTTAAGTATCAGGCGGCTGTAGGTAGGCTCCCGCTGGAGATCGAAATTGAGTTGGCGCACGAAAATCCCAATAGCTGTGACCGATGGACGTGATCTCAGAAATTCGTCTAGTGCCTGCTCACGAGAGGTTTTGTGTGACGTATCCGGGAACCCCCGGATACCATCCAATGTGTCGAACTCCATCGGGGCGATGTTTTCGCTGTAGAACGGCAAAGGAGGCTCCGGAGGACTCAATGGAAAGGGGGGCGAGACTTTGGTGCAGTTAGGAACACGATCCATCTTCCCAAGGATTGGCTCGGTAGTAGATACTTACCATGCGCCTCCGGGTGAACATTTCGTCCCTCCCAGTCCGTCCATTTCATGTGCTCCCGCCCATTTCGTCCGAACAAACACGCAATATCTTCTAGAGGTCCTGAGCCGGCTATACCGGCTAATGCAGTATTTCGTCGCTTGGCCAGACGTCTTCTGGCTTCCAAGGGCCCTGGCACTCGACTTTCGTAGCGTCGTTGACTGGTTGCGAATCGTCGGAAGGTTGATGCGAGCAGTTCTTCGCTAATCCAGACGTGGTCAGTGAGATGTGTGGAAGACGGTTGTAGTGCACGCCGATAGGCATGTCTACCGAGAGACATGAGGCAACAGGGGCATTCGAGTGCAATTGAGCTGTGTCGACCTCGTAGAGACGTTAGCATAAATGAAGCTTGCGGAGAGTTCGGTGTTCGAGTTTCGGGCGGATGACTAAGCGGCGGACCCAACCACAGTAGCTGTGTACTTCAGGTCTGGGCTAACGTACCTGACTGAAGCACGTCAAAGGCAAGCCTATTGATATGAGCTGTCACTAGACATGATGGCCGATGGCCATTTTACTCCAGTTAAGCCAGTATACAAACATATTGTCAAAGCTCCAAAACAAAGTGCAACAATTTGGCCGGACGATGGGTCAACCTAGACTACTACAGTCACTCGAGGTAGACTACAATATTGTTCAATGCGATATTGCGATTCCATCCCAGACAGCTAAGGATTAAATAACTAAAACATGAAAGCAAGAAGCAGAACCCCTGCACGCCTTCCTGTAATGCATGGAATATCGTGAAGCCGGTGGTATCTTATGCAATGCAGCCAAAAACTGCGTCTTCGTGGAGACGCCCAAAAAGACAGCAACGGGAAGGAAAAAGGACAGTGGAAGTGATGATAATGCCTTCAGGAGGCATGTTCCCCAGGGCGCGGTTTCCTCCCCGTCACGACATAGAAGTCCATGTAGCTGTGAACATTTCGATTTTGAATGCTTTTCCGCACATCAACCAGAAAAACTTCAATCTCCGGCTTTGACCACCCCAGTGCAGAAAGAGGTTTATAGGACCATCCCGACAGAGCCTCCAGCCAATTTGTCTCACTCCAAGTGCCGATTGTACGCAGGTGCGGATTTTCAGACCATGGGTTGGTCGGAACTTTGGAGATGCGTTCCTGAACGTCGACGAAGCCGACTTCTCTCATCCAGCGGGCAATACGATGGGCGATGCGAAATTGTCTCGGGGGATCTGTAACCTGGCTTGAGCGCACATTGAGATCGACCCAATCATGCAAAGCATATTCACAAAAGCCATCCGGATTCTCGGGAGGCATGGTGCCATCGTCACATTTCAGCTTAGGGTCGAATTCGTGACACTCCATATAACCGCCGGGTTTGAGATGCTTGAATGCCTTGCGCAAGACATCCTTGAACGATGGGAACGAACCAATCATATGGGCTGTGTGAATGAAGTCGAAGTGGTCTGCGTCCCATAACCAGTCTTCTTCGGTGGCATCGTCAACGAGAAAGTGAACGTTATTGGGGACCTCATTCGGTTGAACAGGTGACAGATCAGTACCTGTGATTTCGGCCTCAGGGAAGATGGATGCTACAGGAGCAATGGAACAATAAGAATCTGCCTGGAGTGAGCGACGGAATGACAGGAGGAAGACGCACCCATTTCTATGGGCCATATGCCAGATCCAGTACCGATATCGAGGATCCGTTTAGGGCTATGTATGGGAGCGAAGAACAGTCGTCCATCGTTGACCAGTTTGATCATATGGTGCTGCATATCTAATCGATCCAATTCCTGCTCATCGTTCGGGTAAATGTATGCTGGATTCACATCAGACAAAGCAGTGGAAAGAGACGGGGACAGAAAACTTACAGCCCTCATGGTATTTGTGGTATCGTCTTCCATTCTCAGTGGGATAGTCAGTTACACTCGCAGTCAACGACTGCGTGTCACTACAGCAGAATTCTGTGTCAGCGTACCCCAAGCGATTTAATCGTCTTCTCTTTCTATATTCCTTCCATCGCGATCGATGCCAGCTGCAGTTTCCTCAAAAACAGTAAGAAACAACCAAGCTACTTACCACTGAGGGTTCGACTCCTGGGACATTATTTGTTAGCATCCCATGGAATATGTTGGTTTTGCTGAAAGAGAAAACGCAGCAAAGGACAGCCGAGTAGTAGGGCAAGCGACGGCCAAGACATGGGTGGTAAACTGGTAATAACAAATGCCACGAGGACACAAAAGGAAAATGCTTACAAGGTAATTCTCGCCCATGGTTCTAATCGGTCTAAACATTATTCTGGGTCTTTCGGGACCGGCTTCTCGTGTGGGGGGCAAGACGGGGTAAGGAAATGTATGTAAAGTTGTAAACTTGTGAAGCCGACAATTTGATAACCTTCTTGATCCTCTTCTGTTTTCTTCCGTCGTACTTCCGGTCGACCTATGTTCTTTTTTGTTTATGACAATGTCGCGGTCGATACGGGGCGACTGCAGTTATTGTCGTATTGATGTTGCCGACGAGCAGATATGTTCCAGTGGGGTGATATCCAACAACCGAAGTAGGAGCCAATGTGTCACTTCAGACTGGATATGCTCCGTTTTACCATCTGATCTGAGGATCAATATTATTTGAAGGTCTAGCTTGCTAATATGCTGTCAAGTGTGCTTGCTGTTGTGCTAGCGGGCCAGTTCAGAGTTCAGCCAGTGGGTAACAAGCTAGACGGGGGAAGAAGTGGGAACTGGAAAAAGGGAAGAAATGCAGAAAATAAGTAGTAGTAGTTATCGAATGGATAGAGAAACAGGCGATGACAATTGCAAATTAGCACCAGGTGGAAATAACTTGACCGAATGCTACCTCAGTTTCCCTCGGCCCTGAGTCCCCGATTTTCTGAAGGCCTGAACCCGACAGGCTGGGTTAGGTTTGGAATTAAGTACGTAGTATTGGAATTTGGAAAAGGATGGGGATGGAGGAGAGTGGACTGGTAACAAACCATGAGTAAAAGACTGCTTTTGCAGCCACAGGCTTCCGTTTCAAGCCTTCATCACTTGTGTGCGAGATTTCATGAACCTAATTTGCTGTTCATAGAGCATTGAGAATTGATTTTCTCGCCACTAGAGTGACTGTACATGCCGTAAATCCGATAATAATTTTGCTGCAACAATAATACAGCTTTAGTCTAGACTATTTCGTGCTGTAACGAGATTACTGACTAGTGGTACTATCTCCTAGGCACCTGCGGAGGATTAAATGTAGTTAAAATATGAATCCGCCAGTTCCTTCAAAGTCGTTGTTGTGATATTAATGATTCGTCAGTAATGTATCAGTCGTGACTTCAGATGGCGCCAGTGGTTTGTTTTTCTACAGCAAGCAGTTCCCAGGAATAGCGTCACGATCTCAGACGGGGATAAGAGACCACTCTTCTCAGGGAAATGTTATGACATATAGAGTATTTTCAATTAGATATGGTTAGTACTTGGGGAAAGTGAATGGTTTACAGGGTTGTTTCTGCGGTAGTTTTCATGGGAAATGATCTGTATCGCATGGATTATCGATCATTGCGGTCTTCAGTTGCAGATTCGTCAGTGGTGCTTTCCTGACTTCTATTATTGAGAAGGTGAGGGTGCAAATAGTGGAACCAGAGGGTATTCTGAACCTCTTAAGTACTAACTCGACAGTCTATACAAAGAAAATTTGTCAGCCTTCCTAAATGGGTACCACTACCGATAGTTGTCAGAGCCATAGTCCTGGTTCCTTCGCTGTGGGAAAGGGAACCCGATGCTGGGTCATGCCAAAAAGCACGGACGTCCCAGGAGTTTGGGATTCGGGAATAAAATCGATAGGATAACCAAACAACTGATACAAGAGAGGAAGAGGATCATAGGTACTTTACGTACCTTAGTAGGTAAGGCTAAGATCATTATCAAATCACCGCAATCAGTCAATTGTACCATTGACGGAAAATTATTAGGACAGGTTATCAAATTAACTTTCTGGCTATAAAGAACAATATCATTTCAGGCAAGTTGAGAATTACTCAAGAGCTGCCAAGGATGTCTTATCAGCCACATTATTGTGAATCAGAATCAAGAGGTCTCTTGGATGATCCAAAAAACATCTCATGCAAATTTCCTACAGCGTGAGAAAAGGGGCCAAATTAGGTCCAGCAGCTGGTGGGGTCGCCTTGTGTTAATTGTCACTCATTTCCATGTAAGCGCTGGACACTTAGAAACCATCTGTTTGTTGTTAATAATACTTGAGTAAAGACTCAGCCCACTATTTATTTTTATTAATTATTAGTGAAGTAGCATTCTAGTGAAGAAAGATCAAATACCACTAATTAATCCAGCTTCTGCGCCCGGCGAATTCTCACTGAACAGAGTACAAAGTAACTAAGAATAATAATAATAGTAAGATCAGCAAAGCTAAGGTAAGACGGTAAGACAGCTGCAATTTGTAGCACAAACGGAAGATGATCTTCAACTAAGACTGTGATCCAATGGCTGCTGGTGCCATTGTGCTGGAATTTCGCATCCATGGTTCATTCTCCTATTATCCGAGTGGGCTGAACCCCAAAGCATCCCTTCTTGATGGAGTCTTGTTTCTACGTAATCACGCCGTGTCATCGTCAGCAGCTTTACTCTCGAAAGTAGCTGGATCACATTTAATCTGATTACCTTCTCGAGCACTGTGCAGATTACTTTTTTACCATACCGTTCGATTGTTGCAGGACACCTGACACCGAGTGTTTTACTGTCTTGGTCATGAACGGAGTTTACCGCTGAACTATCCAGTCTGTCGGATCCTTGACCCACTCCAACATCCAGCGTCGACGGGACATGAATTAACCTACTCCGTACTGTAACATCGCCCGTCCCACCCATCCATTTTGATTCGGCGCCGACAGGCTGCTCTGCTTGCCGGTCTGGGCGAACGACATGATTCCAAATTCTCGTTAGCCAACTGAACAAGAACTCGGGGACTGTACGGTTTCGGTGGTAGCGAAGGCCAATTCGTGGATTTGTTAAGTACGGACTGCGGTGTAGGACAGGCAAACTATCTATAATTCATTATTCGTACTCCCACTCTAGCATTAGCATGAGAAGATGCAGAAGAGAAAGACGTTTTTTCAAGTATTCGCTTGTCTCTTTTAATATGAGAAAATCTATATCGGAGGGGAAAGGCAGCCATTCTCACCATAACACGTTGGTTCGGAACTCAGGATCCAGGGAAGGGACTCCAAAGTACAGATACTCCGTAAGTACTTCTGATCGCCGCGTCGCCCCCGCAGGTAAGTGCACATCTATCTGTGTCTTTTCCGTTCTCTCTCCAAAATTCTAGATCGCCTCCAATTAATAATAAGATTACACGATTCCCGAGGCCTAAAATTAATGACATGAGTCTCACACTACAGTGACGGCATCTGCAAAACATTGGATATCCTTAGAAAAATCGAGACAGAAAGCTGCTTCGCTTGACAAGCATGCCACTGGTGATGCTTAGTCTATGGTCCCCTTGTAAAAGCAGGTTGAATGATGAACCTACGCCAGAAAGATGGGGTTGATGACCGGTTGAGACGCCACGGGGTTTTTGTTACCCAAGGCGTGGCCAGTACTGACATATTCCGTCAAATGGGCATTTATCTCCGATTGTACTGGGACTGGGCCTTTAGAGTTTGAGGCAATGCATAGTATTCGTATTCTTATCGTTGGCCTGGTTTCAAAGCTTGGCTCAGTGTGTTATCATGGTATATGCTGCCCGTCTTGCAGTAGTAAGAAGTATCTGCCTCGTTCGTCTCTTTCTCAAAGACAACGAAAACAGGCAGCTGCATCTTAGTTTCCTTTCATTGGCTTGCATCGATGAGACGGCATGGCTCAGTGGCTCCTTTTCAGACCCACAAAGTTCATCCAAGTTTGTGTACTCCGTATGGACTGCAGTATCTACTACGGTCGACAAAGAAAGTACGCAGACAGTTTATCTGACGGGACTCAAGTATTATTAGGCATATCCAGATTCAGATAGTATGGGCTTCAAACTTTGAAGGATGTACCGCTGAAATGGAATCAGCCCAATGGCAAGGAATGAAATCACGTATTTTTGTCCTCTTCGGTTGCTACTGGTATTCTCATTGCCGTCGCGCCGAAACGGCAACCCTGTCCATTGATCAGAAGACTGGCTTACTGGCGTGATCCACTGGCCACTGGCCAGGTGGTCATACTATAATCCTAGCCTAGGTAGTCAACGATGACAGGTTACCCAGGGAGACCACTGCAAGTTGCAAGGCTACTGTACTGGGATAAGGATGGTGGCTGGAGAAAAGGAAGTGAGAACTGAACGAGAATGGATCTCTTCTGTGATGGATGAGACGCCTCGCTGCCTACCTTGGTGGCAGTACTTAATTTACTGTGTAGGTACGAATGATTACCTCTGTGAAATCGGGCTAGTCCCAAGTACGTAGATGGCTAGCAAGGTAGCACCAGCTATTACACTCGGTTCGGGTTTGAGATTTCCCAGGAGACCCCCGTCTAGCCTCTGCCTCCGCTGAACTTTACCTGGGCATCAGTACAGTCGTCAATCTCGCCCTTTCCTGGTCCTTCTGGGCCTCGATGGGCTAAAGTTGACATGCTCAAGATCTTGCTGCCTTAATATCCTTCAATCGACCCAATTCGGGTCGGGGTCGACTCAACGGCTTTTTCACGTTACATTGGTCCATAACATTGATCACTCAATTCTTCTGCCGCCCCAGATCATGCTAACAACTATTCTCCAAGTGAAAAGGCTATGTCTCTCCAGATCGCTAGTCTGATCGCAAGCAGGACATTTCACCCTTACGTAGAGCGGAGACCACTGCTGAAAATGGGTCCTTAATGATCCCCTGCGGCAAGAGCTAGAAATCATAACTTGCACACGATGGTATTCATGGTACATAATGATGTTTTTTCGGTATTACCGACATTAGAAACCTCCGGTGGTCCAAACTGGTGGCTTACACAGGATCGGTCGGAGCACACTGCCATGTGCCCAGATTTGTGTAGAAGCAGGATAGAAAGAACAAACCGTTTCATGTAAACTGTTCTGAGCTGCCCAGCGATTATCAGATTTTTAACTTGGAAGTCCTCACACAGAGGATATCTATCAGGGTTTCCATCCGTTCTTCTTTGGGTGAGGAATACCAGGTGCACGTGTCATGAAGCATCTTCTGGGTTGCATGCTGTGCTATATCGTACTCACAGCCATGGCTTGTACCACCTTTTGAAGGGGAGACCATGCCAGTCACACAGAGACTCTCAAGAAGTACAATCCACCCTCTCGCTTGGCCCTCCATCGTTGATAGAGTACACAAGGGAGGAGAACTTTCAAAACAGGAAAAGCCGAGTCCCACTGTTACCCCGACTTATAGCACTGCTGGGCGAGACTTAGATACCAAATGTCTCTCATAAAGAAGGTCCTTCTTGTGGCTGAAATGGGCAATCCATGCGATCTAGAGGTTCGACATGCTTTCTCTAAGTGGAATCGTATGGGGCCACAGAGAGAGTTGTTAGGGTCACTGGCCTGGGTTCTATATGTCGACAGTCTTGGTAATGGTTATAAAAATTTATAAAGGGGCTATTTGCGAAGGAAAGGAGCCACCTCAGGCTATTGCAAATACTCAGACAGCTGCCAGTGACAGACAGATAGAAGTGGCTGAGCTTGCCAGTTGCAAGGCCATATAGGCCACAAAACAGGGCATGTTCATGAACACTGAAGGTAGTCATAGCGTCAGGGTGCTGTTTGTTGATTTTCCGAAACGGAGTAGACAATTCAGGATTTTACTTGCTACCTGGAAGCTTGGAGTTTACTGTGTACAGTTCCCTACCTTTGGCTTTGTGTCCGTGAAAGAAGGAGACTAACAAATCAGCCCCATTCTTCAGCATTCTCATCACTAATTGACTGAGAGAGACTATCTGATCCTCCTTATTGCCAAACGAATGCCAGAAGATCCTTAGTCTTACGTCCTCAACAAGTCTGCGATATGTTTCCAGTTGCCTTAACTAGCCCTCTAGACGTTGGACGGCTCCAAAAGGCAAAATGCCATCGGTCTCAGCGTCAGCTCATTGCCTCCTATGCACCAGATCTACGGTCAACACCTGATGAGTACCTTCAACTAAGATCATATACGTGTTTTGTGATGGACAAAACGCGTTCATCAACTGCCATTTGAGTCAATCCACCAAATCCTAAGTTTCCTCGTATCGAAGGAAGATTCCAGTTCAGTACTCTTACGCTACCAAGACCTGTCAACTATCCATCTACTCTCAAACGTGTTCTCATGAATCAAGCTGACAGGATTCTCTGCACAGATACAAGATTACCCTCCATCGGCTGAACCTTGTCCGTCCTACAAACATTAAGCCATTCTAGTCCGTGTATTCGACTCCGAGATGCGAATAAACATACCTGGTCGAGATACGAATATCCGTCTGAATCCTAGGGACGCCTTCCTGATGAATCAACGTGTGGGCGAAACCGATCACCTGAACAACTTGATCCCACGACCCCTCTGAGAATCAGGATTTTAGCTGCGAGTTCACAGGCTGAAACAAAACTGATACCTACCAATTGTTGTTCCCGTTGGATTCATCTGGTACTTCAGACCTGTCTGCTGACTGGCCTCCGTCAACAACCGCTGGATATCCGCGATCTGCTGAGAGAAAGAAGCGTTCTGGGTTCCAATCTATAGTAGAGGATCAGCTGAGGAGCTGGACGAGAATGGGGCCTAGACTACACCGACCGGAATCAGGGAGAAGTCGGCAGTGCATCGTGCCGGAGTCGCGAGAGCTGGGTAGTTGAACGACATGACTCTGAGATATGGTTGTTTGGACTGTGATACTCCTGAAAGAGGGCGAGGGTGTATTGAGGTCGGTATGGATTTGGACCGCTGTTTATAAGGTCAGGATGGACCGCAACACAGATCATGGTGACGTCTGAAGAAGAATCATCCATTACGTCTCGAGAGCAGATTTGACTTTACGCGGTCATCAAGTGGTTTCGATATCACCAACAGCATCCCTGGGTCGCTTACTCTCCAAGGTGAGTGTCATCTTCTGATTCGCATGCATCTAACCTAATAGTGCGTCTCGTCCACGGTACGTCCTCGGTACTGGTCAGGCTCACTCCCACGGACGTAAATATCTTGAAACAAAACATCCAGCCTAGGCTCAGGTTCCGGCATCTTCTCGGCTTCTGCCACCTCATGATTTACCTTTCCTCTTACATTCTTATCAATTGTTTTTGCTTCGTCCTCAGTGATGATACCCCAATCTATCAGCTGTTCCCGAAAGTTCGAAACCGGGTCACTCGCACGCTCCGCCTTTAACTCTTCGCGAGTCCGGTATGCGACTCCAGGATCACTCATTGAGTGCCCGGCGTACCGATATGTCACATACTCATAGACCAAGGGCCCCTTTCCAGCTCGAATGAACTCTCTGCCGTGTTTTACTGCTGCCATTACTGCCAGGACGTCCATACCGTTCACCCTTAATCCAGGGATGTATAAACCACGTTTATAATAATCAGTCATTGCAGACGCTCTTTCAGCAGAGGTTCCCATGCCGTACTTATTATCTAGATACCTGTTAGCAAAAGACGGGTCGAGCACGGTGCCCTAGACACCAGAAATAGAAGAACTGACTCTCGCACCCGAACAAAACAGGCAGGTTCCACAATTTCGCCATGTTGAAAGCCTCATGGACTTGACCTTGGTTTGCTGCTCCGTCGCCATACACATCAACGGTGACATTATCCCTGTTATTGTACTGCTGAGCAAATGCTATTCCAGCCCCGACTGGTACATGAGCTCCCACGATGCCATTACCCCCAAAGAAGCCCTCACAGAACATGTGCATAGACCCTCCTTTGCCGTGGGATATGCCATCCTGCCGTCCAAGTAGTTCGCCAACAATTGACTTGATACTCCCCCCTCGCATAAATGTGAATCCATGAGAGCGGTATGCAGTGATCAATTTGTCTTCTTTGCTGATGCCATATTCAATGCCAACAGCGACTGCCTCTTGGCCAGTCGACAAATGACAAAATCCACGAATCTTCTTTTGTTTGTAAAGAGCGTCAGCAGCTAATTCCAATCGTCTGTGAATAGGTCAGCTACAGAGCATCAATAGTCCAAAAGACATATTTCACCTTATCGTAAGCATGTCTTGGTACATGTTCTTGAGCTGCCTTTTTGTGGTTCCTACTGTGTATGGCGGATGGTCAAAATGATACGTCTCGAAGCTGTCTTCTGGTATAGGAACGTCAAAGGGCTTGTCATCTTCCTTGAATGAGCTTTAGCGCTCGACTCATTGAAACGATTCTGTTTGACTTCAGTGCGAGGCGCCGCTTACAGTAGGTACGTTTTCCACATTGACAACTTGTGCCAGGAAGCGACGTTTTGCGCAGAAGAGCTTCGAGCTAACCCAAGGTAATGACTCCTTGAGTCTCGAGTTTCTTGTAAGCATGGCGGCTAATTAATACTTGAATCTAAAGAAAGTGAGTTGCTAAGTGGTGTCCAAACGGGCACGACCGATGAAGAGCAGACACCTTACTGCCGTGGGGTCGGAATGAAAGATATCAAAGCAACATAATAGCAAGAGGCTGGATTTCTCGACGAATGAAGTGATGTGGCACGACGGCTTTAGTGACGCAATCTTGAAATCAGAACTCGCTTTTCCTCCGAGAACACTACATATTAGGCTGTGAGCTCTGGAAGCTGGCCTACAAGCCAATAGCACTCCGTACGGCTGTCCTTCGGCTGGGAACCATGGTGCGTAGATCATCCATGAGAAACAGGTACCGGCACGTCACGAAGGGTCTTTTCCGCAAATTGCATACGTCTTTGCTGTTCCCTATCTAGCAGTTATGGAATCCCATTGGGGTTTCGCGACCGGGAAATCTTTCTGGCATGTCAACTTAAGCGAACCTCAACGACTCTCTATTAAGAATCCATGATTGCAAAACTTAAAGATTGGATGTTGGGAAATAGAGAGAGATATATTGCCCGATTTGGATATTCAAGGATGCGGGAAAGGATCAACAATCTTCCGATATGACGCATGATGCCGTTCTAGGCTCCCGCGTCTGACTCTGCCATGGAACTCGCTCTAGCACTATCAAACCTACATATGCTTTCAATTTTGGTCACGGAGAGGTGATGCTAGGTAATGGGTCGAATGAAGCTAGTCGCCCAAGAAGCGCTGTAACACGATATATGTGGACTCTGGCTGCACTTATAGATCTTCGCGGCCAGATATAGGTATTGCTTCATGCTGCCGCTCAAAAAATTCCGGCATCATGCGCCGTGCACCTCGTGGTCGCTCCGCCAGGGGCCGAGTCTCTGGCGGCCAACCCAAGGCACGCGAGGAAGGAGATGAAATACCTGAAGTCTACCAGGAAATGCTCGCTGAAGCAGAATTGCGGAACCCAGATGTTTCGGAAGCGGATCGTCCTATCAAGAGACGGAAGGTTGGAGCTCAGAGAGCTACAACTTCTAATGATGTTTCTGTACCCCAAGTACCACTGTCGATGGAAGATCAGGGCCAAGCCAGCCGGCAGGTACAGACCGTCTATGACGAGCCCACGTCAGAAGAATCGGATATGGAGTGGGAAGAGGTTGACCTTCAACAAGTCCCAGCTCAGTCGACTCAGATAGGTCCGGTGACAGGGGCCGATAATGAACCACTCCAGATCACTCTTGACAGTCATGAAGGAAAGAGACGGAAAGTAATCTCAAGACAAAAACCACTCACCGCTGCCGAGAAAAAGCTCCGATTAGATATACACAAAGTCCATGTGCTCTGTCTCCTGCGTCATGTGCAAATACGGAATCTATGGTGCAATGACGACGAACTACAGGTACGCAACTAAACGCCTAGCATGAGTAGTACCCTCTCCTCGGCCCCCTCGATTTAACTTGCAATTTAGAGCTTTCTCAAGAGGATGTTACCCAAGCAAGTGATAGCCATGTTAAATCCACCGGAGGATAAACCACAGTACAGTCGGTCTACAACTTTTGTCGAGGGGCTGAATCAAGCCAGTGATGCTTTTAGCAGGAGGTTTAGAGTGACTAGGCCGGGCTTGAAGCGAGCCCATTGGGTAGATGATCCCGAAAAGTTGAAGCAAAAAGTGGTATGTGTTCAAAGCTCCACGCAGTAGTCACCCTCCTCACATCCCTGTAGGAGACTATTATGTTCGACGCGGAAGTCTTTTTGTCAGAAGAAGACTTTTGCAAGCAGGCTAGGACGATGCAGGGCTCTCGTGACTTTGGTGCTCAGTTGTTCTGTGCTCTTCTACGCTCTGCAGCTGTGGAAGCGAGGCTGGTCTGCTCACTCCAGCCTTTGCCCTTTTCTGGGACGACGAAGAGCATGACGCCAAACAAGCGAGATTCACAGTACATTGTTATATCGTCTGATGACCATGAAACGTCAGCAGATGATCAACAGATGTCTGGCCTCTCGCCGACACCGGTGTCAAGGTCCCGAAGACTTGGACGACCTCAATTCACTCCAGCGCGTTCACAGAAGACCTCTATTTCAGGTAACATGTCTACGTCTATTCCGCTTGTCTAATTACTGACTTCTCAAAGGTCCGGGGTTCACCGCTCGAGCCTCGCCTTACCCGGTATTTTGGGTTGAAGCATTCAACGAAGCAGTCCAGAAATGGGTCCCCGTCGACCCATTGGTTACCAAATCGATTGCAAAACCATCTAAGTTTGAACCGCCCTTCAGTGATCCATCAAATTGCATGGTTTATGTAGTTGGGTTTGAAGAGGATGCGTCCGCAAGAGACGTTACCAGGCGCTATGCAAAAGCTTTCAATGCAAAAACACGCAAAATGCGCGTTGAATCTACTAAAGATGGAGAGAGATGGTGGGCAAGGACGATGCGTTTTTACGAAAAGCCATTTTTGGAGGACAGAGACGAGGTTGAAATTAGCGAGCTGACAGCGAAAACTGCTGCCGAGCCTATGCCGCGAAATGTGCAAGACTTTAAAGATCACCCGATATACGCGATTGAGCGGCAGCTTCGACGGAATGAAGTCGTTTTCCCCAAACGCGTCATTGGTCAAGTCAGTCTTGGAAAGTCGGGATCGAAAGATCAGGTGTTGGTGCCGGTTTACCGCCGTAGCGATGTTCATGTTGTCCGCAGTGCGGACAAATGGTATCGCTTGGGACGAGACATCAAAATCGGCGAACAGCCATTGAAACGTATTCGCGTCAACAGAAACAAGGATGTCGGTTTCAGCGAAGACGAGCACGACAATGAAAGCGGCATGGAGATTCCTCTGTATGCATATTTTCAAACGGAGGTCTACACACCACCGCCTGTTGTGCAGGGGAAAGTACCTAAAAATACTTATGGGAACCTGGATGTCTATGTGCCGAGTATGGTTCCTCCTGGAGGTGTTCACATAAAGCATCCTCAGGCTGCCCATGCAGCCAGGGTCCTTGGTATTGATTATGCAGACGCAGTTACAGGCTTTGATTTCAAGGGGCGGCATGGAACTGCTGTTTTTCAAGGGGTTATTGTTGCCAGCGAGTGTCAGGAGGCGGTGGAAGAGGTCTTGGATTACCTTGAAGACGAAAGAAGGCAAGCTGAGTCCGAGGAAAAGTCGAGAGAGACATTACGGTTGTGGAAACATTTTCTGCTGAAACTGCGAATTGCAGAAAGGGTCAAAAGCTATGCCATTGAAGGAGAAGAGAGCGCTGAGGAAATCTCTGAAAACTATGAGGATCCAGAGGAAGCCGGTGGCGGCTTTATCCCGGAACCAGAGCAGGAAATGGCCGACGGAGGAAATTTTTCGACTTATCAACGATCAACCGAACAAGAGGCTCGAGTATACACATATCATGAAGCATCGACAAATAATGGAATCCCGGGAGATGAAGCGCACGGTGGTGGACTCAAATCTGACGAGAGTGCCAGCCACATAGAAGCAATATCTGTGAATCCTTCCGAAACCCACATTCCCAAGGCCTCAAGACGTCCTCGTTACAGCCTTATCGTCGTTCCCAATAAGAAAGCAAACAATAATGAGGACGGCACTTCCCAGCGGCAACCACAACAGCAGTCCGAACCATCTCCTGAGATTGTGGAGCTTGAGCCAGCGGCAGAAGCTCAGAGTATGAAGAGATCTGGGGAGCCTAGTCATCCAGGCTCTTCCGAAGCTCCCATAACGGTCGACTCTTCAACAACAGGCGGCTCCAAATCAGCTAGTATTGAGGTATTGTCGCGGGCAGCATCGCAAACACAGTCACGAACTCCCACGCCAGAGGAAATGGACGAGACATCAGGAGTTGATGACAATGGGTCATTGTTGTCGCATGATCCCGAAGATGAGGATGCTATTCCAGAGTGGCTAGTATGAACTCGTCTGATTTGAATCATTATTTCATGATTTTGTGTATATCCATGTATAGGCAGTTTGTCAATAGATACCCCATTACTGTAAAGCCGACAGGTTTTCTGGGTTACTAGAGTGGTATTACCTAGGCGAATGTTGCCTAGAACTGGATATATGTGTGCACAGACCACTATCGATGTCATAGGGACCAGACGCGTCGACGACGCGAACCGCACCGATAAGAGAGCTTTATGCATTATGACCCATCCGCAGCCGCAACTCTACTCCGGACTTATGGTTTTATTTCGTTCTTTTGAGTTCCTCAAGTACTGATATAGCTTCTTCGATTTGCGATGAGACAAGGTGACAGACCAAGTACAAACGCAAAATCTGCCCAGGAACAATTTCGAACGCCGAACAAGCCTCCTATATCAAGTTCCACCACCACCTCCGGTCCGCGAAAGGGGACGGCAACATCAAAAAAGCAAAGTGGGACTCCAACATCCTCAGCCTCAGCGTCTAAGCCTTGGAAAGGCAGCTTGCTCTCCAGGGATCAACCTACACTTACACAGATTGACTTTGTGACGCCGAGGACACAGAACGCCGAATCCGATGATGATGACGATCTCGATTACATCGATAAAGCCGCTCAAGATAATGTACCGGATAGTCGCGAGGTGATCGAGATAGATGACAATTCCGATGACGATGCTAGTTATCAACCAACTTCATATATACGGGCACGGCGTACCGGAGACGCCGAACGAAGACCAAATGCTGCGCGCAATGCATCAGGGCTGAGAAGGAGTACAGGTCAAGCTGGTTCCGCTGAAAAGCGACCCGGACGGAAGAGTATCGAAAGTGTCAAGAGCAGCAAGAAGAAGAAAGAGAAGCAGCAAAAGGACAAGACACTCACTCAGATGGATTACGTGCGGCGTTACCTGAAGATCGAGCCTGATGATGAAGTCAAGCTGGAGTACACCTATATCACTCCGAAGAAGAATGATAGCCAGGGATTCGAAGGAAAACTGCCTCGTGGGCTTGAGTCTGCGCCCACTGTGGAGGCCACCGCCCAAGAGTCCTTAAGCTCGAGCAAGAAGAGGAAGCTGGAGGCTGAGGA